CGGCGCCGTCCTGTGCTACGCGACACGACACGGCACATAGCCATGCGACGAACACTCGGGGGAATAGGTATCCTGCGTGCGTGCCGTGGTGGGGTCTGACTGTCCTCGCATACTGTACGGAAATAAAGATAGGTTTTGTACGACGACCGAACGACTGACCGACCGGCCGCACTGAGATGGAGATACTGTATGGCACTGTAGATGTAAGGGTCGTCCTCGGTCGGGAAGGGTCGTGCGGGTTTCAGACCGCGTGGATGTCTCAGCGCCGCGGTGCGGTGGGAGGTGAGCTGTAAGGTACAGCACAGTATGGCGCACTACTACTGTCTGTCCACTGCGGGCGGCACGGTGCTGTAGTAATCAACCAAACCACCCTCCTGTCATTTTCCACTCCCGTCATCATACATACGGCGCTGCTGTCGACGATTCCGTTTAGAGAGAGGATAGCCGACCGATCCCTTCCCTCTTCCCAGCTCCCTCACTCGTTCAATTAGGATGTTCGGATATGGATACAACTCTGCTCATGCAGCCCGCCGCACCACTCACTCGAGTCGAGTCGAGTCGCTTACCCCTACCTCCCCCCTCGGCACCCTCCTCCTCCTCATCACCACCATCGCCACCCCTACACCCCTGCGCTGCCACAGCGCCGTGGCTTCCTGAGCTTAATCCCGCCTCGTGCCCACGGCTTGCACTACTGAACCCCCCCCCCCCCTCCTCGCCCTACCTGTATCCCAAGCCCAAGCCCGCTTCCACCAAGCCCGCTTCCACCCCAAGCCGCCACCTCCATCCCCAGCCGCACACACCCCCATCCCAAGCCTCGGGCAGACAGACGCACGGACGAACGTACAGAGCGGCTGGCTCGCTCGCTCGCTCCCTCCTTGTCGTCCTTATCCCGGCTGTTCGTGATATACTGTACTGTAGCTAGTGCTGCAATATACGTATGGCTGCAGCTGCTAGTGCAGCCACTAGCTTCGTGGGAGCAGGGGGGAGGAGGAGGCAATTACGCCCCGATCTTACTCTAGAGTGCGCCAGCCCGCCTGCCTGGTGTTGTAGTGTAGTGTAGGCGGGCAGGATGCAAGCCGTGTGGTCGCTCTGGAGGGGATGGGCGCATGGGAGTGGATGCAATGGGATAGGCGCATGTACTGTATACGGCGAACTGGACACTAATACTACACCACTGCTCCATCCTCCACTATCGACCATCTCCCCCTCCTCGTACAGCCGCACCGAGAGCCGAAAAAGAAAGCATGGGAGGGGTTAGACAGACAGACAGGCGGACAGAGTGACCAGATATCCACACATCCACATCTACACATCCACACATCCAAACAGACAGGACAGGGAAAGACGAGCGCGACGAGACGAAATGACACAAAAAAGAATGGACACACATCCCCCTACCCCCCAGCCCGCCCACGCTAGCAGCTGCACCACCACGCCACGCTAGCGATCAGGTACGTACACTGGCGCAATCCCAGTTGCGGATCCAATATTGGCCCGCACCCGTCGTGGTGCTCTCTCGTCTGGATCCGGATCGCTCATGGGTTGTGCCGTGGGTGGGTAGCTGTATAGTGTTTTTTTTTACGAATTGACGGGACTGCTGACTGTTGATTGATAGAGTAGATGGGGTATGGTTCTTCGCGCGAATCTAGACCACGCGGCGCGACTACTCACACGCACACACACACACACAGAGCTCAGATAGAGTAGATATTACGCGCCAGCACGAGGGAGATAAAAAGTAAAAAGCGCGTCACGGGTTCAATAAAGCACGGTACAGTATGGTAAGCATACTGTACTGTATCCTCTCAAGTCCACCCACCCCCGTTCCATCCACCACCAAACCACGCACACCACGCGTGCCCCCCATCCCCTTCCTTCCCTCCCTCCTGCACCTGCACACTGCACCATCCTGCACCATCCTGCACCACCACGACTCGAACAGAAACATGTCACTCCCCCCCATCCCCCTCCTCCATTTCCCGTCCGTGCACCAAACAAGGGCTAGACTCGCACACCACACCCCGGCATGCGGGAAAACGCGAGCGAGCTCTCGAGAGAGGGAAAAACCGCCCAGGCGAGGACGAGGCGTTTCGGGCGTGCGTTGGCGTGCGTGTGTGTTGCGGGCGGGCTTTGGCGGTAGCGTGGGTGGGAGGGGGAGGTGGTTAGCGTGGGAGAAGGGAGGGGATGGGAAGGGATGGGGACGGGTGGCGCGGTTGGGGTCTGGACCGGAGAGGGGGGGAGAGAGAGAGGATACTTGGCTTGATTACTCTGGTCTGGTATACTTTACCTCACAGCACTCGCAGCACTCACAGCACAGCACTATATTTTTTACTCCACCTCCTTCTCCCAGTATCGCGGCGCCGACAGCGGTGGTCCTTGTTTTTCGCGTGGGCGTCGTGTATCTGTCGTGTCGTGTCCCATCAAAAATCCCGAGTCTCCGTTAACCTCCGGTCGGGAAATACAAAGCCCCAAAGCCCCAATTCCCCAACGAACGGGTCGGGGAGGCAGGAGCAAGCCACGACATGCTTCTGTACCTACCCTTCTCTATTCCCATCTCCGCGGCGCCTCCCATGGGCGCTGTACAGTACTCACACAACTGAACGCGCGAACGAAGGAGTGCACGAGTGCACGAACCACCGGTCTGTCTGTTCTGTCAATCACGACATCCATCACACACAAACCTCCTCTCCCCTCCCCACCCCACCTCCATCCCATTTCCTTCATCTCATTGGCTGACAGCCACTAGTTGAGAGCACCTCATTGGTTGACACGCAAAGCCCACCCTAAGAGGCCAAAATAAACGAACCCTTGGGTCCTGTGTGTCTGTGTGTGTATGCGGATGGGTGGGTGGATGGGTGGATGACCTAAGCATGCATGCACCACTACCCTCACCGTCCGTGCGGGGACGGCTGGGGCTGAGCTGAGGATGCGAGGGGGATGGGGGGATGGGATCGGCGGTTGTAGGGGTAGGGTTGAGGAGATGATGGGGTGGGTGGATGGGTGGATGGGTGGGTGGTGGGTGGATACGGTCTCGGTGTGTGCCGTGTGTGATGGGTATGTACAGTAGTTTGTGTGTGCGTGCGTGCGTGAATCAATCTGTCCCCTCCCTTGACGCCGATGATGATGATGGCGGTGGATGTGGATTATCGCTCGGTTTTTGCGGCGGCAGGGGAGGGAGAGAAGGGATAGCAGGGACTGGGGAGGAGATGGAAAGTGGAAGTAGAGGTACGTTCCACTTCTGAGCTGAGTGTGGGGTTGCCAGGTGTGCTGTGGGCTGTCACTCCTAGGGGGTGTGTGTAGGTGTAGGTGTAGGGGTACATGCTGTTCTGTAGTGGACGTGCAGGGTGCAGGGTGCAGCAGCGTGCGTGGTGGGACATCTTCATCTCATGTCTTGTCTTGTTCTGTTAGGGTAGGGTAGATACAGTAGGGTCTCATTTCAGCGATGAGATGAGATGGGTGATGAGTGATGAGTGATGAGTTTGTTGAATCGATTCTTTGGGTCTGACTCCCCTGATGAGTATTTACAGGGTGTATGTGTATTAAATGGGTGTGTACACTTTCTCAAGTTATACTATCTATATACGGTACGGCGGGATATTGAAAGCATGTATGAACACACCTCAGCTCTTACGGCACTAACTAACTTAATTTTAGCTTTGAGGCAATATCAAACAATCACTCCATCACTCTGTCTCCACTCCACTTTCTTATCTTCTTTTTTCCCTCTCGTCGCGCGCCGCTTTTCGCTTGTTAGTCGCGGTACAGTAATCTGGTAATCTAACCTCTACCACTCTAACTGCACCCCACACCCTCATCCTCGTTCCTCGCTCCTCACCCTCACCTCTCACCCTCACCACCACCACCACCACCACCCACCAGCACCCGCTGTATCGCATCATCTGCCCTACCTACCCTGCCCTGCAACTTCTATCCCATCCTACCCATGTCGTCTCTGTCCCAAAAGAGTGAGTGAAATAGTGCTCTGGCCTCTCTTCACTTTCCCATGCCTTTGGTGGCGAATAAACACACACACACAACCTATACTCTCCCGTCTATACCTCGCTCGATTGAGACACCTACATTCGTATATATTCATTCACGCGAGTTCACATACACGTGCACTCACACGGCCACTCCTAGTCTATTCCATCACGCACTCTCACGCTCTATCTACCCTTCTTCTCAACAATACCACTAATCTATATCTCTCTCTCTCCCCGCACACCCACTCACAACCATAACCATAATCACACACCCACACTAGTCACGAGCTCTCCATCCCCATCCCCCATCGTCCGATCATCTCGTCTCCCCTTCCTCTTCCCATCTACATCCACCACTAGTACCCACTACCCACTACCCACTACCCACACCCCCAACCAACCACTCTCGCCACCCCCTCCTTCTTCCTCCTCCTCCTCTCCTCCCCCACCCAACCTGTCAACTTCCCCCCTACCACCTATCACCCACTAGTCCTAATCCCCTCCCCCCCATCCCATCCCCTCCCAAAACCAAAACGACACTAACCTCAATCCCACCTAAGGCACACAACAAAAATACCACAGAATACCACAAAAACCACTACAAAACCACACGCAATACCAATACCAGATACAAAAGAAAAATGTACCCTAGCAGCTAGCCCCACAACACCGCCTATCACACACTCACTTCCCCCTACCTCTACCTCTACCTCTACCCCTACCTTTCTCAACCATCGAGTCCACTAACATACATCTCCCCCTTCCATCTCTACCACTCCTACTACTCTCTCACTACCCACTACTAACACTCCCACTACCCACCACCACAAACCACCCCTCCCCTCCCCATCCCTCACCCCCCCACACCCCTGCACCCCATCATCACGCCCAGCCCTTTCCCTCCCCCCAGCCCATCCTAACCCATCCTAACCCCATCCACCACCCTAACACATCCCTCCCCACTCCCATCCATATCCACCCCCCAGTCCCCCAGTCCCTCTCCCCCTCCCCCTCCCCCTCCCCTCCAAGTGCAGATACAAAGCCCGCCTCACGCCCACACAAAACCCACCACCCAGCCCTCCGGCACCCACGCGCGCGTATTCCCACCACCACCCGGCCTGAGCTTCCGCGATCGACGCTGGTTAGTTAGTTAGCCTGTGTGCGCCGAGGAGGAGAGTTCTTACCTTGCCTTACTACTTACTTACTATCACTTCTAACACTTGGAGCACCTTCTTACCTTTATCTTACTTCATCCGACTATAACTGTTACTGTTGTTGTTGTTCTTGAGCAGGAAGGACTACGGGATATATATCTCCGCGCGACGATTCTATTGTCTGCGATTCTACTGTTGGGAGAGAAGGGCAGTACAGGGAGTTACCACTACTGAGGCCTTTGTGCGAGGGTTTGTTAATCTATACGCCACGCCACCACGCTGAACACACGGGGTAAACCACGCATCAGCGCAGTACACAACATCAAGTCGAGTCTGAATCTGAGACGAACGAGGCGCGCAGACAGAGAGAGAGACGGACGCCCAAAACGCCCAGCCAGCCAAAACAGAGGAAACCCACAGCGCACACACGCACACACGCACGCCCGCAGATCCGGTTTTCACTTCCCACCCAGCCCAGCGCCCGAGTGGACAGGTGAACAGGAACGAACGAGAGCACCAGGGCTGAGTTGAGTGGCGAGGGTTTGAGAGGCTTGGGATTTGGACTTGGACTTGGAGAGTGTGATAGGATAGGAGGGTGTATATAGGGTGGAGGATTTGTGTATACGACCCGCGATAACGAGGAAGAACGGACTGGATTGTGGATTGTGGTGTTGAAAACGACGACGAAGAAAGGAAGGGAAGGAAGGTTGTAGATTTGATCACTACGACGTGGACGATAAGAAGAAAGGAAGGAAGAAAGGAAGAAGGAGGACGTTTTTGACTACCAGACGACGAAGGGCTGCAGACGCACGACGACGACGATAGAACCGCTTTTCTCCTCCCCGACACTGCGCGACTCCACGAGAACCATCTACTTCGTCACCTGAGCACCTCGCTCACCTCCTCACCACCCTCGCCACACCACCACCACCACCACCCTCACCATGGAACCCCCCCAACCCCTCACCGCCCGCCGCCCCGCCGCCTCCTCCCTCCCAACCTTCCAACTCCCCCCCCCCGACTCCAAATACCCCCCCTACACCTCCACCGCCCCAAACACGCAGCAATCCATCCTCACCCCCCCCGTCTCCGCCGCCGACGCCGCCGCAGCCGCCTCCAACGGCCTCCCCCCCTACGGTCAACAAATGGGGTATTGGCCGCCTGTTGCGGGGGCGGTGCCGTTTTATGCTTTTAGTAATCCGTCGGGGGGACAGGGACAGACGCAGAGTCCGGGGCAGCAGCAGGGGCAGGGACATCAGGGGAACCAACAGCCGCCGATTTATAATAGAGCGTTATATGCTCCCCAGCCACCACAGTCGAATTACCCCCCCAGACCACAGAGTTCGGATGAATCGATACCTCCGCACCAGCAGCAGCAGCAGCAACAATACAGCATGTCGCTCCCCTACCCCTCTTCCTCCTCTGCATCCGACCAACAGCAGCAGCAGCAGCCCGTCCAACAACAACATCAAGCGCCACAACACGATGCCTACGGTCCCCGCCCGCCTCCAACACCAACCTACGCCTTCCCGCCGACAACCGCGCATCCCTTCCCGTCTTATACGCAGCCCTCCCCACCGCCTGCGAGGTTATCACCTACCACCACCACTGGCGCGGGAGCAGGGGGGCCGTATCGTCCGTTCCCATACGCCCTACCCACGCTCTCAGGCGCGGTAATGTCGAACGTCCACTCCCCCGGCTCGCAACTCTCGCTCCTCTCCGCCCCCCCAGGCCACGGAATGTCGCAACAGCAGCAGCATCACGGTATGCAGGGCAGCTACCCTCTGTACGCGTCCCATGGGGTTCCGCATGGGGTGGGACACGGGGGGTTGCAGCAGTATGGAGTTGGAGTTGGAGGGGGCATGCAACTGGGCTTGGATAGGCCGTTTAAGTGCGATCAGTGCCCGCAGAGCTTTAATCGGAATCATGATCTTAAGAGGCATAAGAGGATTCATTTGGCGGTTAAGCCGTATCCGTGTGGGGAGTGTGAGAAGAGTTTTTCGAGGAAGGATGCGCTGAAGGTATGTTTTTATTTTATTATTTCCCCCCCTTTTCTTCCCCGTTTTTTCACCCATCTTGTTTTGGGCAGAGTGAATAGTTGCTAATAAGATGACAGAGACACGTCCTAGTAAAAGGCTGCGGCAAACCCGCCCGCCCAACATCAACCTCTCACCACCAATCCTCATCCATCTCCGCCCCCTCCACCCAGCGCCGCTACACCACCACCGACATCAAAACCGAAGGAACCCTCAGCTCCGACGCCGAGAGCCCCGGTGGGAGGAGGGGTAGCGACGAATGATTTTTCTCAACCTCACCTAGGACGGAGAAGATGGAGTGAGGGGATAGGGTTGCTGTTGTGCGAGAGGCTGGAGTTAGTGGACTGTTTAATAGTATACCCCGAGGTGGATGGGGGTGCGGAAGGGTGGATCTGATATGATACAATTCGATACGAGCCGGCCCATTCATCCATTCCTTACGATTCGGTTCAAATCATCATCAGCAGCAGCAGCAGCACTCCAGTTCGCCCACCACCTATACTTTCACCCCACACCATCCACCATGATGTCAATATCCTACCCACAAAAAAACAGACAACTATACCCCCGCCTCGCCCCCCGAGTCCCGACCTCCTGATAAGATAACACATCATCGAACCCTCCTCCTGAAGTCTTCGCGATCGAGGCAGCAGGTGGGGGGTTGTACGTCTGTTATCTTCTCAAGAAGAGTCGGCACTAGGGGGGAGGGAGGGGGGAGGGGAGTTGTACTAGTATCGGCGTCTTTTATACCCCAAGGTGGTGGAGTGGATAGGGGTTGTGTGATGGAGATGATATGGTACGATTCGGTTCATGGATTCATTCACTTCATCGCCGCCCCCGCAGCAGCAGCAGCGCTCCAGTTCGCCCTCCGCCTCCTATATCCACCCCACCCAAGATGAAATGTTTTCTCCCTCCGGGGGGGCTTCGCTCACACCCCGCCGCCGAGTTCCGAGGCCATGCAGCCAGCCATGACGATATTTACGGCGTTTCTGAGGCTTCTATTTATGTAGAGAAGGTTTGGGCGAGGTATGTGTCGGCGTCGCTGGATGGATGGGGTTGGAGCTTGGGGGAGGAGGATGGCGGTGGTGGAGATGGCGTGCTGTGTTATGTTGTGACGTGGTACTTGTGTGTTTGTGGAGTATGATCTGGTCGAGGTGTATGGGCTTTGGGTGATCTCTGAGTCGGTGGATGATGGCTCGCTCCTTGGACGTGTTTTGGGGATCGGAGGGGATGGCTGTTGTTATTGAGGATAGATGGATGGGCGGGTGGATGGCTGTTGGAGGTCTATTGCTGGGGATCGGATTCTGTGGATGGATTCTGTGGATGGATAGTCCTGCGTTTGGGGGCTTTTTTTTTGCGTGTGCATTTTTATTGTATTGTTTGTGTTGGTTATACCACTGTGTGCGCGGCGATCGGTTGGTCGGGGGGGGGGTTATATATGTACGGCTTCATGGGGGGTTAGGGGGTTTTTATGGGGGGTTTGGGTGGGATTGGATGGCGTGGGATGGGTTGTATGGAGGGTTTTATAGGATGGATATGGGTATATATACTTAATCTCTCAAACACGTATATGTATATGGATTGCATTGTGACTGAGGTATGGAGATAGGGGTTGATACATCACCCCTTTTCCATCATCATCATCATCATCAACCCCCTGACTCACCCCCTCCCCACCTCTCCCTCTCTCTCTCCCCCTAAACCCAACCATCCCATCCCAGCACCCACAGCAAACCCACCCAGCCCATCCGCCCGAGCAGACTTATAGTGTCTATTTTCATCTCCGTCCTCACGAACGGAGACGCGCGGGGATTGATTAGCTGGGATGAAGTGGCTGCTTTGGGATCAAGGTGTTATGGGGAGGAAGGAGGAGAGGGGGGGGGGATGTTGTGGCTATCTACGACGAGTGGAATGTTGAGATGAGCTACTTTAGAGAGTGTTTCATTGAAAACTCCCAAGGAAGCTACGGCTGAGCGTGCTTGGTAATCGTTCTTGAAGTTTAGGGAGTGAAAGGATCTGGGGAAGGTACGACAGAGCTTGCTTGGTAATCGTTCTTGCCATATTTACTTGTCTCCTTAGCTGGCTCTTGACCACAGTGACGAAAAAGCGGCGGGACACCAGGTTGGGTGAAATAATATGATAACATAACTCCAAAAAGGAAAAGAGACGCTAATCCAAATCAGGGTGCACCGCGCGGTGCACCCTGATTTGGATTAGCACCAGCTTGGCCCCAGTCCTTGATTACAACACTTCCACTAACAATGGCTCACCGTCTGCCTCATCACCATGTTAGAACCGACCTTTTTGGAGCCTCACTGCAATAATGCATAACGATTTTGAGGATTTATTAACACACAATAAACGTCTACAAGAAACCAATGTACACCTACAGAATATAGTTACACACCTAACTAAACAACTTAACGGGGTATCAGCCCTGGATATACTACAGTATTGCTGCCTCGCTCCATGAGCACCAGCGCGTTCTATATAACAAAGAAGAAGAAAGAAAATAACCCCCACCCCGCCCACAAAAAAACCCCCACAAAAACAGCGGCCCCTATCCCTGCCTCCTATACCATTTTCCAGCATACGCCCTCTATTCCTCCTATGCCCTTATATGAACACCCTAACACCCCACAATACAGAGATGCCACATCGAAGCTAATGCACCCGCAAAACCATCTTTAACCCCCCCCCCCCCCCCAAACACAAAGACATTCCGTTCTCATACAGACGAGATGGAGGTAGACGAGGATGGCCGAGAGGATATCAAATGTGATAGTCTGGAAGGATGATGAGTTGCTGGAAGCTGAGCCAAGGAAGAGAGACGTTGTCTCCCCTGCATACGACTCCGTGATATGCGGCAGTTCAACGATGGTACGTCGACTAGCTCATCTCGCAGTCATGCCCCCCCAAAGACACTCCCTCCCCGTGCCGACCAGCTGGAGTAGATGCAGTTGGAGATGATTGAGCCGACGACGAGGACGGCTGAGAGGAAGCCGAGGATGGTTGAGCTGACGGCGATAACGGTTGAGAGGATGTTGAATGCGATCTAGCTGACGACGACGCTAAATGCGATTGTCCGTATAGCGGCGGCGGAGTCGAAACTTGAGCCATGGAAGAAGGGCCCTGGCTTCCCTGCACACGATAACGTGATATGCGGCTCATCTCACAATCATCCCTAGCTCTCTCAAGCCTTTCCCTCCGCATACGGACGAGCTGGAGGTAGGCGAGGATGATTGAGCCGATGGCGAGGACGGCGGAGAGGATGCCGAAGGTTATTGTTTGGATTGTAGCGGAGGAGTCGGAAGAGGGGTTGGAGAAGATGGAAGGTGTTGCGGTGGGGGTGGTGTCGAGGAGGGTTGGGACGGGGGTGGGTGAGGTCGTGGAGGACATGGAATTGAGAGTTGGAAGGAGTAGTGTGAGCGAAGAGGTAGAGGACATGGCCAGCGACATGCTGTTGGACATAGGAGGAAACGTCGGGATGCCGTATTTAGACCCAGGAAACAATGGCGCCGGTGGGTTCTTGATATGTTTGCTTTGGTCGTCTTTGATTGTACTGAAACTGACTGTAGATGAGAGATGACTTACAATGGGGGAACTGAGCCTTTATAACTTATTTAGCTTATTTCATTCCGGCGAGAGCGCAGGTCGGTTCTGATATCGCACTTTGGTTTGGAGAGTGCGACGCGAAGTGCAAGCCCGCAACGTGCTATACAAGTGAGCGCCTGTGGCGTTGGATAGATGTAAAGGTAGGCGTCATGTGTAATACGATAGTTGATCCGTGGCAGCATGTGGGCACTGCGACAAGTGCGCATTATTATTATTGGATAGGGAATCCATGTAAAGAGCCATGGACTATTCTTCTATCCGTCGCATTTGTGCTGGTTGGCCACCACCGGCTTGTAAGGCTGTGGACGAAGTGGGAGCACACCTACAAGTGTGTGTCTAGAATACGCAACCTGAAAATCTACCAGGAGCAGCACTGCGACCACTGCGACAAGTCTGTGTGAGCAGTGTGAGCAGTGCGACAAAGTGCGCATTATTCTTATTGGGGGGAGGTTCTTGTTGGGCGCGATTAACCCTCCATCCTAGCTGTCGCACGTTAGTGCGCTGATCTTGAAATCCGGAGAGACGCCTTCGACAATCTGTGCGCGAGCGTTGCGACGAGTGTGCTCCAGCACTGCGACTAGTGCGCATTGGTCTTATTGGAGGGAAGCCTAACAAACGGGGTTTCTTCTGCATTTACAACAGGGGTGAATTGGGTTGATGACTGTGGTGAACTTTCCATCCATGCTGTCGCACTTCAGTGCGCTGAGCCTGAAGGCGAATAGATTCGACAGTTGTGGGCAAGAACTGTGACTAGTGCACGCACATCCGGCGGGTCGGAGTCTCTTGGAGACTGAGACTCCGACCCGCCGGATGTTCACCGTGCATTTGGTGCTCCCTTGTTGGGCCCACAGGACCGCGATTAACCTTTCATCGTAGCTGTCGTACTTCAGTGCGACAGACTAGGTACGCAGTTATGAGGCGGATAGATTACATTGCGACCAAGTGCGCTCGCTCTTCATTTGCTGAGGGATGGGGATCCTAGACCCCTGGGGTCCTTTACCACTCTCTTGCGTGAAGGCCATTCGGGGCAATTGAATGGCATGTCGAGGGGCTGAGCCGTGCCAAGGCAACCAGGTCTCGGAAACACCACAAGGCTCTATGCATCCATGTAGGTGTCTGGTAACGAACGCCCTTCATAGTCTGGGAGAGCTCTTCATAATCATCAACAAAGTCCGATCCAGCTTTTACTATTTTCCCGAGCCCTTGTCCGTGGCAGAGTCAAAGTATGAATTCAAACATCGTCAATCATCAACAACCATATGAGGCCAACTGGGCCAAGTTGATCGAAATAGATCGTCACAACTTCGGCAGTCTAGCACCCATAACGCAGTCAGATTATCCCGACTCCACTACGCGTCCTGCTATAGAACTTGGACCTCCAAGACAGAAACGTCGATTAGAATACGTCAAGTGTGACTTTTGCCGGCGGTCCAAGAAGAAGGTCAGTGTCTTGCACTATCATATGCGGCTCAATCCCCTTATCCTTCCCTACAGCCCCTTCTTCTCACACTCCTTCTCTCCATTACTCGCTCAGTTCTTCATTCCTGACCGTCCCATAACCAACGTTTCCCTCTCCTTTCCTCTCCTCTCTGCGCGTCTACACACCCGAGATGTAACTTACAACTCGGTGCGCTTAGTGTGAACCCTCCGAGCGCCAATGGCCAGGCGAAAAATGCCAAAGGTGTGACGCAAAAGGATTTACCTGCTCGGCGCCTGTGAAGAAGAATAGGGCCGGTTCTGATGCGTTAGCTGTGGATAATATCTCATTATTAGCAAGCAACGCTCAAAATCTTCTTCGTACGTTCTCCCTTGTTTAACAATATAGATTTGAAATGATTTTAACGTACGTTAGACGAAGAAAGAGCCTACTGTGCCCTTGCCGAGAAGTGCATACAGCAAATATCAAGCGGCTTACAGAGAAATATTTGCAAACTATCTTTAGAAAACACAAAGATAGGCGCAATACATCGCAGTCACATAAACCACATGGTTCCTGAAGAGCTTCGGTACGCCTGTAGATATTGGGTACCTCATCTCTGCCGTGGTAAATATAAGTTTTTGGGTGACGTGGATCTGCAAAACCAAGTCTACAACTTCCTCACAGGCCATTTTCTATGCTGGCTCGAGGCTCTTAGTTTGTTAGGGCATTTACAGGATGGTATCAATTCACTAGAGTCTTTAGTAAGTCTCGTTGATAACGTGAGTGTGACGACAAAACCTGGATGGGAATGGAATATATGCTAAATTAAGAAATATGCAGGCAATATGCAGTGCAAAGCTAAGGGGCTTCGTGCTCGATGCAAAGCGCTTCATACTAGACTATAGAGCGGACATTGAACAGTTCCCTTTGAGTATATACCCCAGTGCTCTACAGTGTGTACAGTCAGGTTCAATGAAAGAAATCCACATCCCTGAATTACCAGTCTCGGGGGATTTACATCGCGGCAAAATATGGGGGAGCCGGATGACAACACTTCGGGGCCATACCTCCAGGGTTTTTGACATCGCTTTCTCGCCAGATGGTAAGCTGCTAGCGACAGCTTCGCTTGACGGGACAGTTAGGCTATGTGATGTAGCTACGCAAAAGACGTTGCAAGTACTTGAACATAACAGAGGGGTTGGTGCCATGGCTTTCTCACCAGATGGAAATCTCCTAGCGTGTGCCGTGAGAGTCGGTGATGCGCGTGATAGGACGGTCAAGCTCTGGAACCCGGCCACAGGAAAGGAGCTACAAATGCAGAGTCCTATGGAGAGTGGCGATTTTGTTAATTGCATCGCCTTCTCACCAGATGGAAAGTTATTAGCATCCGCTTCTGACGAGAAGAAGATCCGTATATGGGATCCTACTACGGGATGCTTACTGTTAATTCTCATACATAAGCGCGGTGCTCAATCTGTCGCCTTCTCACCAGATGGAAGGCTACTCGCATCCGCTTGTGGGGGTGGAGTTATCAAACTATGGGATCCGCACACAGGATATGAGATAAGATCGTTTGTGGCGCATAGTGTCTGCATTTTTGCTATAGCCTTCTCACCGGACGGTCAACTACTAGCATCAACTTCACTAGATACCACGGTTAAGATATGGGATCTAGCTACAGGAATAAATCGACAAACATTTGCAGAGCACACTAGGAGTGTTGTGTCCATCGCCTTCTCACCAGACGGGAAGCTGCTTTTATCAGCTTCCTTAGACAAGACGATACAGATATGGGAGTCAACCACGGGAAACGTGCACGATACGCTCGTTAGGCCTGGTGAGATCGATTCGGGTATTGCCTTGTCACCAGATGGCAGTCTGCTAGCGTGTGCCTTCTCAGGTACAGGGGCAGTGGATATGTTGGAACTACACGGCTTCAAATGAGAATGATCTCCCTTATTTCATAGAAGAACAGGAGGAACGCGAGGGATTGTAGATTTAGTTTATCTGTATTTCACTGATAGCGAGGAGCAAAACAGGTTGTGTTCCTCAATAAGCATAAATTAGTCCACCGTTTCGACGGGGAGGAGGTGTATGAAGACTCAGACACACTGGACAATGAGCAATATTTGGACGCTTTTCACAGATCCACTATAACTAAGAGTCAATTTCCTTAGCAAATGATACAGCTATTTTTCGAATGGGCCAAACACCCTCCCCATCGTCTCTATCCACCATGCCCGACCTGACGAATCAACCGGCTCCTCTCAAGCGTATTGGTCCTCTGGAAACGGCAGGCGCGGGGTTGACATATTTATTAATAGAATGGATCTAAAGTCTCTATAACACATGGTAATTAGGGATAAATCTCATGAGGTGCCTTTTGCACTGATGAGCTCTATAAGACATTGTTCACTAATTGTCAGAAGTCTCACTCACCGCCTCAACAGAATCCCTATTCCTAGACCACCTCCCAGTCCCTTGTTCCAGAATACGCTCGTTATTTTAGGGTCAGGTAAGAAGATGCGAGTCCAGTCTCACTATTCGTGTTTTAATAACAGTGATTATGCACTGTCGCTCTAGATTATCAATCCTAGGAGTAGTAGCCCCAGGTGAAGCTAATTCATACATATGTGTGGTCACATTTACGTATATTAGGAAAGATTCGAAAGATTCTTCTTTCTCATGTGCCACTCAGCGCTATCATTACAGAGCAGGCACTGGACTAACCGCGCCAGTTCCAATGTTCTTGGTGCTTTGTCTAGTATTTGTTCACTGCTCTCAGCTAGTAATCTCACTGGAGCGGGTCAGTCTGTTCTCGCAAATATGTCAGGTACTGTATACTCTCCAAGGGCGTTTCATCCACTTGGGAGTATGACTCTCGACCTTGGACATTCAAACTCTTCAATGTCATCATATGCCAGGTACCTAGACACTTATCAGGGTTCTGGGTTTGCTACGTACAATTATGGAGGTATAAACTATACGTATGTCTTTCTCATATAGCCATCTATTTATAAGTGTTGACAATTGTGTTCTGATGTAACAGATGTGCCGCCCCAGCCAAACTTCCCCCTTGCAACTAATCTCTTTAGCTCTAAGAGCAGCATCTCCCAGTTTGTAGAAATAGTCAATAACGACAATTTCAGGCCGCGTTCTGCGCGTTCTCTGCACTCTCCGCGTCCGTCGCAATTTGCGCATCCTCCACGATCTGCGCGGCCTCCTGGATCTCCGCGTTCCGCACATTCTCCGCACCTTGTCCCATACCACAATCAAGATATCGCATCCTCATCTCTTGGTTATCACCACAGCAAATCCAGTAGCCCAATTCATTAACAGGGTCAAGCACCTTCCAAAACCGACCTTCGATCCCAGAGCAGTACCATTCGATCTTGAGTTCCGAGCCATATAAAACACGATGCTTATCTGCTAAGATTTCCCAAGCACACATCGAGATGGTGATACTGAACTCTCGCCCAGGCCCTAGAGTGCGTAGCATTCTCTCAATAGGGCCAAAAATGGAATGTTCCATCGCTAACGCGGACAACTTCAGAGTCCTTGCTCGAACACGTCGAGTCGCCCAAGTGATGTCTGGGAAGTCATCTCCAGTAGGCCTGATATCGCATATGATTGTAATGTCAAGACGGAGAACATTAGGAAACGCCTGAGGGACCATCCGACATAGTGCATGCAACTCCGAGTCCTCTGTTGTCGGATCGTCCCAGAGAACCCGCAATTGGGATCTACTATATTTATTGAGCCAGCACATTTCAAGAAACGGGATAGCGCGTAATCGCTGGGGAAGTACCATGCGCTGGAGGTGCTCCAGTAGATCAGGGCTCTTTAGATGAAACGTGTTAGTCGCAAAAAGGACATCAATGCCATCAGCATAACTGCTCAAGTCATTGTTATTCTTAGATGCCAATAGAAAACATGAGAGGTCTTGGAGATCACCTACGCTTGTCGGCATGCCAATAGCCATCCAATGATGCCAATAAAACATTTTGAAGGTCCGTCTTTTCCCCGCAGCAGCCCACACTCGCTAGGATTTGGGATGCCTCTCCAACATGTGTCCTCCCATGGTCTCCCCTTCGGGATCAGCTCGCCCTCCCTCGTACCGAATAGTGAGCGAAACAAACTGCCACAGTGACCATCTTCTCGCCGATGACACACGCAGCCAAACCACTGCCAGCCTTTGCGGATATCAGTGTCCCGGATTAGGTTCGAATCAAGGTCGCAGTGGCTGATCTCCGTTTGTGTCCCAGACTTCCGTACAAGCGGATGGTTGAATTCTAAATCCATGTGTAATGTGCGCCCACCAAATGCTTCAATAAGAATACTGCGGCGGATTTCATATGGAAGGCGCTGAAAGAGACCGTAGTTGTCAAAAGACACGAGGTTCTCTGACGACGTCGACGGCGTCAAAATGCTTGGTCGGTCAGCGGGGAGGAGAGGGAGCAGGTCCTTGTTCCTACTGCCTCTCTTTTTTTTCCGTAACACCTTCTTTCGGAGCCACTTGAAGCTCGGCATTATCTCACGATTTGAGGAATGACCGTGCGACGCAAATATTGGAAGGTCTCTAAACGTTATCACGTATGCCGGACGACGGAAAATAAGAGCAAGGCACTCTGAACAAGGTACAAAAACCAGGACGGCCAAACACTCCGACTATTACCCAAATGATGGGAAAGTGACTCGAAATCAACAAGAATTCCTTAAACGCTGTGCCTATGGCAATGGGTATTGTTGAGGGGAAAGGGGACGTGCGCAGTTCCTTTGCCTCCAGAATGGCAATATCCCTAACCATCCAGTCTAGTTCCTCAATTGGTTGCCTGATATGCAGCCACTAGGCTTAGCTGCGGCTCGACCCTTAGCTCCTTAGCTTGAGAGGGGTTTAAGGTGTCTATGAGACCTACAAATATGATACGTAGAGTCGCAGATAGTGTAGTAATTCAATTGATTTTATTTATTCTATATGCTATATTTTCTGTGGTTCTTGCCCCGTGTGCCATGTGAGATATTACGGCAGCCAGAGAACCACATATGATATTGGCTGTGTTCCCCATACTTTAGAATATCGTCCAACCGGTATGTCCTGACTTGGCTAAATGGTGGGTGGGGTCTCCCCGCTAAAGATCGCAGTAACCCGAACACTTGTTGTTGGTACTGTATGCACCACCAGATAACACTACTAGGACACTAATCCATATTACGCTATTGCTCTTGATCTACATAACCAGTATATTTGTATTTGTAAGGCACTTTGATCTGTACTTCAACCCGTATAGTCGCCGCCACTCTCTCAAACCGGATTCTTCTTCGATCAAGACGATTCGATATCCCGTAACTATTGCTCTTACAAACAGAAATGTCATCAATCAACGGGAAAAATGTGCTTGTTGTATGATCCGATGTCACCCTAGCTATTACATTTCTAAATTTATAACAAGACTGGTGCTTCGATTGGTATCGGAAAGCAGATCGCGCTGGCGTTAGCTGAGAACGGGGCAAATTTGATTTTGTTCTCTAGAACAGAAGTGAGCAGCCATTTTACCAATCTAACATGAGAAATTCTCCCATAAAATAGTCTAAACTGACAGAGCTTTCGGAAAGTATCAAAAGCAAGTATCCTGGCACAAAAGTCTACTGTGCCTCTGTGGACATTCAGGACTATGAAGGTGTTAAGGCGGGAGTACAGAATGCACTCAAGGAGATGGGTGACATTGATATTCTAATCAATAACGTAAGATGCCAATCTAAGCAGTCGAACCTTCACTAAAAGTTTTAATAACCAGGCCGGTCTTGCGCTCTGAGCCCCAGCAGCATTCCAAGACCTTTCAATCTCATATATCTTACAGATGAACAACACGAACATAAACGGGATGATGTTCATGACATATGCAGTACTTAATGCCTCTTTCATGAAAAAGAAAGCTGGTACCATTCTTAACATTTCCTCTATCACTGGTCTCGAAGTTCCTCTATTTCCGGGCGAGTCTGTTTATCACGCCGGTAAAGCGGCTCAAGAGGCATTCAGCAACGCATTGAGAAATGAGCTCAGCGGGGCTGATATTCGAGTCCTGGTGCTAGGAGCCGGTTGCGTGGCGACCAACTTCCACAGCTTGAGGGTGGGACATGATAAGTCGCAATACGAGAAGTTCTTTGAGGGATTTACTCCTTTGGAAGGTGAGGATATCGCTCGTGGGGCTGTCTTCATGCTAGAACAGCCATTGAATGTATTTGTCAAAGCTCTTGATATTGTATCGACTGGTAAGCCAACAGTTTCTTGTTCTCTTAGATGGCCAGCTAATTCGCTCGTTAGCACAAAGATCCCTTACAGTTTTTGACCGAGAATGGAATGGAAGGCAAGAAGAGAATTTAGTAGTACCTATAATAGGATGTAGGAAATGTTCTTATGTTTTATACTCATGACACCTCTATCAATATAATCTACTTTAATACGTAAATATAATTAGCTTAAATCTATTGTGGCATATGTAACCAAAGCATCGTCCCGCACCTTTCCTTACCCCATCCATCTTTGTAACCTCGTGCTCGTTCACCCCGCCAAATCTCCAAAGGCTCAATACACGCACAACCCCGTCCTCTCAACGATTTTATACCGCACATGGAAACCACACCGAGACAGCCATCGAGGTTGAGAAACCTCAAGGCCAAACGAGGCGAGCCAGTCCCCGCTCCACAACCGTCTACCCCCAAAGCAAATCCAACCCCCGCCGTCGCCGCCCCAAACAGCCCCCCATCACGCGCGTCTGCCGTATACTCCCCTCCGAGGCCCTTCCGCCATGGTATAGCTCGAATCCGCTTCTAGTTGGTTGATCCACAACGAGTTCCAGATAGACGACACGGTCCCGAACCCGGCGACGGGATTAGTGCGCAGATTCCCCAGAATCCGCGGCGCGTGTTCGATGTCACGGAGCACGTCTCGCTGTGTGGCTATGCGGCCTGGCTGAATAGGAGTTATGATTACCCTCGATCTGAAGAATAGGCAGCTGGTCAAGATGACGCATTATTCGATCTACGACCACGAACTCCCCATCTACCAACAGAGTTTCTTCGGTTCAGCCATGCAGGTTCTGCCTAGTAAGGTGGATGAAGACGGGTTTGCGGCCCTGAACGCTGTGCTAGTGGAGGAGGATTGTATCTTCCTGATTTCAAAATTCAACCTGGCGTCGCCGCCGGGGAGGTTGAAGCGGACGCCACTGGCGGTTGGGTGGGAGTATGATTGGTAGATTTGGGGGTGATTAGGGGTTTGAGAAGTATCAAATTAGGTGGTGGATCAAAGTTATTTTTGGAAATCTTGTAGTCTGTGTAGACTATCCATCACGAAGACGTTGTACTCGCGAACCAACACATCACTTCCTTCCTCTTCAGTATCCACAACTCCCCCCAATCCCCAACCCTCCCCCTGCCCCCAGTCTAGCCATCCTGGAGACGGCACCACCTCCCTCACCACCAGAGTCATCAATACCATACCCACCCGCGCACTCTCCCCCCCAGCTACCTCGCGCACCTCTACCGCTTCGAAGCTCGTCTGCATGTCAAGCGGTCATGGGAGTGAGTAAGCTCGCTCGATACTATGAGCAGAACACAGCGGATGTGTTCGCTGCTGCCTGTTCCGGCGAATGATTTGTGGAGATAGATCGATAGTGTTTTTGGGTTTGTTGCATCGTTCATAGCCTGCCTGTCGATGGCGTTGTTGTACTGGGGCTGGCACAACTCACTCACCCACCTACCCAGTCAATCACATCACACATCACCACATTCATTTACAGCCAATTCACACACAGCAGCATAGAACAGCACATAACATCACTCCTTTTTCATTCCCCCATCTACCCCTATCATCCCCTCAATCCCACCCTCCCACCCATACAAAATCCCCTCCAACAACCTGTTTACCCACAATCAGACCCATCCCATTCCACAACACCACCCATCCATCTCACCCAAACAAAAGAGAGAGTTTCCGTTTCCAGTAGTAGTAAAAAAGTAATAAAAAGAAGATGAACAACAAGGACGGTAATAGTAGTAGTAGTAGTAGTAGTAGTAGTAGTAGTAGCGTAGTAGTAGTAAGGCGGGTGTAATAAAAGAAAGAGGGATCTGTATACCTCCCCCCCTTTCCTTCCCCAACCAATCCATCCCATCCCATCCATCTCTCCCAGACACAAAAAAAAAAAGACAAGCACGAAAAACGGATGTCGAAAAAACGAACGAACGCCGCGGAACCATGCAGAAATGCCCAAAGACAACTAGACGTATTACCAAGTCCACCCCGGTCCAGTATAGATAACCCCCATCCCAGCCCCGCCATTCAATATCTCTCGAGAGAAGAGGGAAAGAACATCCGTCCGTTCGCATGGTTGCTTTTGTGCCCTGCGTCCGTCCGTCGCAAATCCCCCCAGTCGAGAGAAAAATCGAATCTCTATAGTAATAAAAAAAAGAAGCCCAATATTCATTATTAAACCCCGCAGCCAGTAATCGTGATTAAAGCGCCTCCTTCCCGTGGCCCTCGCCTCATTGGGTCGAGTTGGTGGAAAAAAAGGTTGTTTTCGTGTGAGAAGAGTAGTAGTAGTAGTTTTCGATGACTTGTGTATATGTATTGCGTTATAATCGGGTAAAACAGTCGTGGTCTGGTGCCGCTCTCGTGTTGCTAAAGGGGGCTGGCAGGACATGCGCTTTTCGTCACCGCGCCATCTTCATGTCTTCCTCCCCTATATCACCACGCTTGACGCGGCCGGGCCTCCGCCTCGGGAGACCTCCCAACCAGCTCACCGTACCCCCACAGGGAATCGCGGCCCGAGACTGCTCTGGCTGCTGTGTGCCGAATTCTCAGAGTCGATGTGTGCACTATCACCACTCCCCGCGCTGGCGCTCGCACTACCAGTCAGACTTCGGTTGTTTACGGGCCCTTTAGGCAGGTGGAGGGCGCTCACCCCTGCATGCTGCTCGACTTGCTGCGGCGCAACCATATTGCCCTGTCCCGGTGGGTACTGTGGGATCGGCTGCCTCATGCCTCCGGGTGGAGATGGGCGTCCGTTAGGTGGGTATCCCATGTGTCCGTTGGGTGGCGATGGTCGGCCATTGCCGCGGCCGAGTTGCGGGCTGTAGGGGTTTCCAGGGGATTGGCTTGTCCGGCGAGGGAAGGGTCCGTTCATGTGGCCGCCAGCAAACTGCAGTTCATCAAGTCGTGCTGACGTTAACGAGGCGGCCCTTGAATCCTGTCCTAGCGACTGGCGGTCGACATTTCCGTAGCGGTTCGACGAGTAGCCCATCAGCGGGTCGTCCATAATGGAGTCGTGCGTGCCGGGTAGGTTGCCGATTAACCTGGCGCTAGATCGGTTCCTGCCGGGTTGCATGGGCCTCTGGCCGTATCCCCTCCTGGAGTCGCCTTCGGGATTGCTGCGCATCTTGCTCTGGCTGATGCTAGGCGCCTTGCGGTTGCGTCGCGAGGTGACGCTCATCATGTCGAAGTTATCCGGGTCGATGAGCGGTGGTGCTGGACGGCTAGTTGGGTCAAAGTACTCGTCATCGTCGTCGTCATCATCGTCGAAGCCGCCATTCCGGATGGATGGGGTCGCGCCGCCTCTCCTGGGTCCTGGTGGTGGTCCACGCCTCATGCGCATTTCCTGTTCCCTCATGTTGATCTCACGCTGTCTGAGCATCAGTTCACGCTCGCGAAGCGCCATATCGTCACCCCCGTTGCCCATATTAGAGACGCCTTCTGGGATATCATCGTAGAGCACAACATGGCTGAACTCGTCTGCCAACTCATTGTCAATAGACCCGCGTCTCGACTGTTGGCTCGACCCATAGCCATTTGGTGGCGGCCGTCCGTAGCCGTTTGGAGCGCCATTCATTGGTCCTCCACGCCTCATTCCGGGTGGTGGTCCCATCGATGGAGCCCTTCCTCGTCCTCTGCCCATACCATTCATCATACCATTGGGCATACCATTGGGCGCACCATTCGGCCCGTTCATCGGCCGCGGTATCGGGGCTGACGATAACCGTGTCGGAAACTGGCCATTCCCGTTCACAGCAGGGGTCACTGGGGCTTCCTTGGGCTTCTGTTGGTTCACAATGTTGACGCTGTGCAACAGCGCGTACAACGTTTCGATTCGGGGCACTTTCAGGCCAACCGACTGTGCGAGTTTGATAGGCGACCCCAAGTAAGTTTCGACCTCCATTGGTCTCCTCGCCATGAAATCCTGGTACATGATGCTATTCGACTCGGATGGGCGGACCATTTCTTCGAGGGTCTTTTCGGTGAACCCTTTCGGGAAAGTGCACCCCTGTGCTTCGGCGATGCGTAGTAGTTCGTCCATCACATCCTTGATCATCGGCAAGACAGCCGTTTTCTCGAGCAGGGCCGCGTGGGACGGAGTCTCCATGAGCACACTCAGTGGGTGGAAAGCAATGGGTCTAGAAAATAGTTAGCGTGTTTCTCGTAGGAACTGTAATATCCATACCCGATCATCCTCTCATACTGCTGCTGGCGGATGTTGCGCGACACCTTGCAGTCCACTTGTCCGGTGCTCAGCGTCATTGCCAGCGCCTCGGCCATATCCTGCTGTATCGACGCCGGTATAGCCGCGTTCTTATTCGCAGCGCCCACCCAGACCTCTGTGGATGCCTTGTGCTCGAATTCACTGACTCCTAGCTGTGTGAGTTCCGCGCCGGATACCAGGGATAGGACAACGTTGGTCGGGAATCGCTGTTCGAGATGCGCCTCGACGCCGAGAGTGTGTGTCGTGTTGACGAGAATGCAGGTGTGTTGAGGAGTGACCACCGACTCAATTACAGCCGCGAGATCGTAAATATCGGGAAGGGCCTTGACGCAGAGCAGGACGTAATCGAAAGCGCCCTCTTTGCTGGCGGCAGCGTCTTCTGGTGTCCGGACAACTAGGGAATTGAAGTCAGCAACGAATTCGCAGGATCTGGCAGATCGAACTTACCATGCCGCGGCTTGAAGCGCTCGTTACCAAACGCTGTCGATCTGGAGGAAGGCTGTCAGTATTTGTGGCTTGGCATTGAGGAATTGTCCATCCGCGAGACTCACTTGAATGAAATGCCATATTGAGAGACCGCGTCGAAACCAGACTTCCATACCAACGTCACATCACAAGCATTCGTTGCTTGAAGCCTCCATGATAGAAAGGCCGACACTGCATTTCCGCCCACTACACAGACTTCCATTAGCATTGCGTCGCCCATATTTGACAGTTCATCGGCAGACGCGCAGGTGAGTCGGAGAGCAACAGGGACGGGAAGTTTAAAAAAAGCGAAGGTAGGAAGCGCAGTTGCATTTGTCCTAACTTGGAGGGACGGGACAGAGTCGGCGGGACCGGGGTTGAGGGTTTTGGGGGGGGGGGGGGTTGAGGTGAAGAACGGTATGGGAGATCAATTGGGTTAGAGGGATAGACGGACCTGAGAGGATCCTCAGTCGAGGAGCTGTCGGAGCCATCTTGCCCAAATGGGAGAAGTCGGCGCACTATTTCCAAGACACGACAGATGAGGTGGCAGCAAATGGAAGGAGGCGTGTGGTGCCAATGGCGCCAGTTCACCCGCGCACACGGACGCTGTGTTGTAACTTGACGCGGGCTAGGATAGTATAAGTTTCGGTGGATATTTGAGGCGTGTTGGGCGCTTGCTTTTGTGACGGGATGTCTGACCTGCACTGTATGCGGCAAGGGCAGGTATGTGTGTTCGGAGGGGGTGGCTGGCGGGGGTGGTTATCGTTTGAAGCGGGAGAAGCGTGTGTATGTGCGCCGGTGTGGATGATGGGATGAGGATTGACGATGGGGCTGGTAGGATCGTGATCGTGAGGCTGTTCGCGGAAAAAAGGTTGGTATGTCTCTGGTCGGAGGTGGTCGCCAGGACAAGATCAAAAACGAAGGTGATGTTTCTCTTTCCGCCAATAGATGTGAACGAGTGTCGGCAACTACAGCTGTGTGAATTACAGCTTTGGTTTGTAGTTGGTAAATTATTGGGGAGAACGAACGGTGGTGGCTTTTTTCGTGGTTTGACGTGGCTAGGATGGGGTTGTGGAATTGTCGAAGGAGGAGATACAATAGAGTGGATGAGTGGATGACAATAACTTCGTTCTGCGTCGAAGGCGTTCGCCAGTGGCTTTTTGGACTTGGCGGCGGGACCACAGTAGTACGGTTAGGATAGTAGGGTGGTACTTATTTTATGCATAGGATGGGAATTGGTGATGAGAGGTATCTTTTGTATGTGGTGGTGGAGGGAATGGTACTTTGGTGATTGGGGGTAATTGGAGGTTGATGGCGTGAATGGGGGAAGTAGCGAATTTCGATTGAATTTTGTAGATGGGATGGGGTTGCATAAATATAAAAAGCGTTTTTAGGCAAAGAGTACTTGTGGTTGTGGTGGTGCGGTGGTGGGTGGAGGAGGTATCTTTTGGTTAGTGATAGTGATTGTTAGACAAAGAGTACCTGGGTTTATGGTAGTGGGATGGTAGAGGAAGGAAGTATCTTTTGGTTAGTGATTGTCAGGCAAAGAGTACCTGGGTTTATAGTGGTGATATAGTAGAAGACAGAAGTACCTTTTAGTTAGTGATTCTCGGGGGCCTTGTTTTTGTAGTCTCCGTAGATATTCACAGTATGTACTCTACAGCCCACAGCCAGTATAATAAACCTCCACACAGCAAAATACAACATAGATGCTCAATCCCACTGATTGCCACTTACCACTACTCCAAACCACTATTATAGTACCTGCCTACTGCCCACTGCCTACTTTGCCCACTCCACTCCCATCTCCACTACTGTATTCTACACCAAAAGTACCGCCGCCATATCCCACTTCCCACAGCCCATCCCCGCCCCATCCCATCTCCCAAACCAGCAAAAGGAAGGCACAACCACTCGTACTTTCCCGTGAAGAAATTCGCATCCCAATTTTTCTACGATGAGCAGGCTGCGCGGGTGGAGCAAATTGGAGCAATGGAGCAAGAGGGAACGCCCGGCGATCCCACAGTTGGAAAATGGAGCCCTGATGCTGATGGGATGATCTTGGATGGACTCGATGGACTCGATGGACATCCAACTTCTCATGCCCTGGACGCCATCGTCGTATGAAATCGTATCAACGCACTGCATGCATGCCCCTTCTCCGTAACAATGTCTCACTTCGTGGCTACCACCACCCACCACCATCCGGTCACGGCTTTTTGTCTAGGGCTGCTAACCGGCCTGCCTGCTAACTGGCCCTGTTAACTTGGTAGAAGTATACTTGCTAAATTAAATGATCAACAGTCAGGCAGGAGGGAGAGACAACGCAGAACCTCGATCGACCCTTTACTGTGCAGTAGCAGCGAATCCAGTACAGTGCATGCATCATATACCGCACAACTTGTTGGGTTGGCTGTTCCCGCTGCTGTACCTTGCACTGCTGCTTGCTCCTCGCTGCGAGATGAAAAAGTCTCTGATGCTTGCGGGAACTGGGCAGTGCTAACTTTGAGATTGGCACAGTAGCGTCGTTTGTTCGTGCGCTGCTCGATTATACTGTACTTACTATGGAGAAGAAGAACCGAAAGAATTTCATATACCAATTACCATACCACAGTACTGTACTTTACAGCAGTACAAGGGAAAAGGGACCAACCAACCACCCACCACCCAGCCCCACGAGAGAGGGACTTAGGGACTTCCAAGGGGAGCTACCGGGACTGGCAGTGGTAGTGGTCTGATTTCCAAGAATTCCTCCCACATTTCCACTTCGCCTAGGTGCCGCTTTGGGGGATGGGTATGATGGACAGGGAAGAGAAAGGGAAGTGGGAGTGGGAGTGCTGATTGATTGATTGTTATGGCCGCTGCTCCGATGGCCGCCAGATTTGGGTGACCTGCATATACAATACACATACCATGCGATGCGATGCCTCCACCCACTCGGCCATACACATATCCGCCGAAAATCATAGGCCACAGATTGATTGAAGATATCCCATCCCCATCCCATCTCCTGTGCTGTGCCACAAACCCGCCGCTGCCTGTCCCTCCTCCGCATCCGCCATCCGCGTATCCTGCCTTGGCACCTAATCTTGACAGCAGCCATACTCGTATCCAACCCCGTATCGCACCAGTCGTTCATCAATCACTCCCTAGAAAGAGTACCTCTTGCCACCACAGCCCCGATCTAGTGCTCACCCCATCATCTATCCACCGAGCGAGAAGGAAGGGGGAAGGGGGGCCGAGTAAGTGAGTGAGTGAGTTGAGTAAGTGAAAGGGAAAAGTAAGGTTATCCCTATCCCCCCGCGTCGTCCGAAAGCTCCGGCCATTTCGCTCTGCGTCCGGCCAGTTTATTTATGGCATCACAAACCATGCACTTGCACCCAGCTAGTACAGTGTACATAGAGTGTTTTCCACTAGCTTAAGGGCAATCGTCGAAGCGGGCGGCGGAGATGGCGAAAATTGTCTTCGAGTACAGGTTTTTTGGCCCAAGAGCAGGCACGAGCGAGCGAGTGGCTGGACCGGGGGGTGGGTGGCTGGATGTACTCGAGTATCATACATAACTTCGACAGGGGGGTGTGCTGGCCACGCCGTTGACAACTTCCCACGTACTCCGCCTGTACAGTACAGTACTAGGGGGTTCCTAAGGATTCCCTAATGAGCGAACGTCATCGTCGACCGAGGGTGGAAGCGATCACCGTCCATCGCACTCTAGAGCGACCATCCTCGCAAGCCGTAGCCCCCACCTAACAGACAATCCCGCCAATCTCCTAGGCTGATCTTATGGGTGCGATTATCGATAATTTACTGCAACCACTACTAGAAAAAAACGACCCTAGCGACCCTGATGGTGGCCGACGACCTGGATTCGATCGATGATGATGAAGCTTTTTGTCCGGCTACTCCGTTATCCGTCCTAGGGAACTGTGATATGTAGCCTAGCTCTGCTCTGTCCTGTCGTCGCGCCGGCGCGAATCGTTGGGTGATGGGTGATTGATGGGCGATTGATTGATTGACGGTGCCGATGTAAGTCAGGTACCAGACGCGCTACTTGAAACCGTGGTTTTGCTGCAGCTTTAGTGTCCGTGAAAGATACGTCCGGCGGATATACCACAAACTCTGGTACTGTACCTGGCCTAGTAGAGGCGATTCTGGCGTGTCTACTACACGTTTGCGCTCTCTACTCCGTACATCATAGATAGATATAGATAGATAGATAGATAGCAACCAGCCTGGCCCAGATGATCTAGAAGTGCCCACACACGATGCTCTGGCCCGCCCTGACTAGCATAGGGCTCGCTCTACAGATATGCCTACATTCAGCTCTCTCCCCCCCGAGATTCGCGCGCTGATATGGAAAGCGACAGTCGAGCCCCGCACCGTCGAGGTCCGCATGCTCCCCCTTGAAAAAGGGAAGGGAAAGGCGAAGGTCCGGCACCTCGTCTCCCCAACGCCCGTGCCAGCGCCGCTACAGACCTGCCGCGAAGCCAGGGGCCTGGGTTTGTACGCCCAGGCCTTCGCGGAGGTAGAGGAAGTCGCGTGCGCCGATGGGGGCGCGGAGCCGCGGTATGTCTGGTTGAATCCGGATATTGATATCGTGTCTCTTGGGCCGACGCGGATCGGTTGGTTTAAAGCAGTGGCAGGTAGTATCAGGCGGCTGCAGATTGAGAGGGAGACTACGCGGGTGACGTTTGAGGAGTTAGTAGAGGTTTGTCAGTTTGAGAATGCAGAGGAGATTTGTATTATCTGTGCGGATGGGATGGAGGTTTGGCATAGGGTTGCGGAGGATCACTTCTGGCCTTGCGAGCTGGAGAAGGTCATCTTTATTGATGCACTTGATGGGAGGGTTATGAATAGCGTCGAGATGGATAGGGTGTTTGATGAGGTGGCCGAGGAGAGGGATAGGATATGGCGGTTGGGGGAGCAGGAGAGACTACAATTGGAGGCCGGGCGGCAGTTGGAGGGGGAGCGGCAATTGGAAGATGAGTAGAGGAGCGGGTAATGCGGATTTAATGGGCGGACTTGAGCGGACTTTGGAGAATCCCATCCATCGCCATTGCTGGAGAGAGCTGAGATACGGAAAGTCTAGAGTCTAGAAAGTATAGAAAAGCAGTACAAGTATTTCTCATGTACACAAAATGCATGTGCAAATGAGGTAACCAGCAAAACGTGGAAAAAATAATCACTCAACCTCAACAAACCTTCACAATCACAATCACCTTCCACACGATCGATCCCGTTCCCGCTCTGCATCTTGGTCATCACAGTCCAGTCAGTTTTTTCAGCTCTGCCAACCCTTTTGAAACCCCGTATCACCAGCCTAGAAAATCTTCCTTCCGAGCTAATTACTAGGTATCACAGACTGACTGACAAGCCACTATCGAAACAGCGCCGGCTTCCTCGGCATCATGTTTTTTCCCTACTAAATTCCCTAGGCAAAAAAGTTTCCCCTGGGAAAGCAGAAATCACCCAAGCTCCTTGTATCCCTGTCCTCCTCCCTAGCTTGCTTATACTTGCCTCGATTATACAGTGCTGTTATTACAACCCATGCACTTATATTATCCGAGAATAGACACAACCCTAGGAGAAGTACTCTACTCTTCATAAAATCCCCCCTTTTCTCACAAAACAGCCTGCAAAAGATATTCCTCTTCCCCTGTCAATTCACCCTACACCCTACAACAAAACCGCCCATCATGACGTCCCTCCCGTCGCTGCGCCCATCTCCAATCCCCAACCCCCGAATCTCCAATCTCCCATCACCACCGACGCCGTCAGGAACACGTTCAACATTTTCAACCTCCTGCGTCATAATCGCTAGTGTCACGGTACGTACCCCAACGGTGGTGGTTTTGTCGCGCGTACCTTGCTTGTTTGTGCCTTTCGCCACTAAAAGAACATTTCTACATCCGGCGATATAGGAGAAAACAGGTCAGGAACAGGACTGGGGAGAAAATATGGAAAATGGATGCGTATCATCCACTTTCCCATCATATTCACCCATCGTCAATTCTGTCCCCCCCCAAAATACTTGCTCTCCTAAACGCCACGAGCCCCTATCGAATAAATCACCACCTACCTGTACATATTGTACTGCACACCAATCCCCCCCCCCAGCCCTCAAATCTCCCATCCAACATCGTGAAACCACCCGGCTCGGCTCCCCTCCTCCCCCTAACCACAACCCCCCCACAGCCCCGGCTCCTTCGCTAGGAAGATCTAGAATCGGGCGCGCACGTACACTCCATCTCGCTCGTCTGATGTCAGGACCTTGCGTTGCCGCACCATGCTGCACGCACTGAACTGCGGTTTGGTTTAGTGTGGCCTAGAGGGAATACGGACGGATCAAATAAATCCCGGCGCGTTTCTTGTGGGTGGTTTGCGAGTGGTTTGTCGGTCTGTGCCTCCTCGTATGTATGTAATCAATCCCCAACCAGCCAGCCAGGCAACAACCAACGGATTTCAAACCCGCACTCCCCTCCTATCCTATCCTGCCGCCCCCTTCCCATCCCCCCTCCCCAGCACACCGTACCACAACCGCACACCGCACGCCACGCCCACGCTCCCGTCCCAGCCCAAACCCACAACCACAACCACAACCGCCAACACACCCACCTCGCCTCCAAACTTTGCTCGGTCACCACCCACACCCCTACACGACCACCTCACCACAACCCCTGCCGAGCTGACGCCGCGCCGGGGAGCGGGGAGGGGTGGTAGGGGGTTGTGCCAAGGCGAAGAGGTGCGGGTGTCGATCTCGGGTGGGTTGCCGGTGTGTTGTGTGGGGGGGTTGTGATGGGAATTGGATGGGGAGGAAGGGGAATTAGGAATTGACGTGTCTGGATGTGAGGGTATGCGGGTGTGGAGATTGGGGATGCAGGTGAATGACTGAGTAGTGTCGTGGTGAGGACTGCGTGCACATGCTGCTGTTCTGTAGGATATGACGCCTAGGTGACTGACGGGGGTGATCGATGGGAGCTGGGCGGCGGTTGTCAATGTCTCCGTCGGCGTGGCGTCCTAAGACATTCCCCCTTTCCCACCCACATCACCATCACCGCTCGAGTATACCGTAACGCAAAAAACAAATACCATCCTCCCCATTACCTCCTACCTCCTATCCCCTGTCTGCTATTGCTGCTGGAGAAGAAAGAAAAGTGATCTCCCACCAACTTAACTTCCTAGACAATTAACGAACTGCTAGACAGATCACCAGGGGGAAGATCTACCATAAGGGGTCCTCCTCCGCGGAGAATGAAGAGGGCCAAGACAGGATAGACGTTGTGGCATGTTGCTAGTGGGTGTTGATCTCCCATCCTGGGGGCGGATATTGGATGCTAAAGGGGATGGGATGGCGTTTGGTGATGGGGGTCGGATGAGGGATGGGGGATAGGGGTAGTGGGGGTTTGAGACTGATGGCTGTGAGTTGTTTCTTAATTTGTAGTTCGTTGATGGTTTTCTTTGTTGTTGTTTTGTCTATACTGCGAGGAAGGGGTTCACATCAAGGCAGGGAGGGTGTCTTTGTCCAAAGTTAAGGAAGATTCACTTGTCATTATTTTAACTATCTACTTCTCGTTGTCCTCTCTCAGGCCACTGGGCGTCTTTTATCATCCCTTCTATCATAGTCGGTGTGCGCTCAAGGGGCTTCCATAACGTCAAATTTAAATAAACCCAAAGCCAACTTCCAATTTTTCTCAATATTTCAAATATATCTCTATTTCCGAACATTTCAGTTCACCAACACAAAAACTCAACCCCCCCCCTTTTAAAATGGTCGACCAAGCCACCATCCTTTCCCCATCACCCCTTCGGCCTTACTACTCCCCTCTGCATACTTTTATATTACCTTTCCGCCACTGAAGACACTCATCTAGCTCGATGTCGCGGATTGGACGGTCCTGCGCGATGAGGACGTGGATGCGTCTGGGGTAGGGGTAAATGGTGTGGCAGGGGGAATGTTGTATAACCTCGCCAGCGCGACTCCCACGAGTGAGTCGGAGTCCAAGGTTGAGGCGGAGAGGTGGTTGGTTAAGAGTAGACGAAGGGGGTTCATACTGCTGATCATGAGCATGAGGCTGTTGATAGGGGGAAGGAGTTTTGGGGGAGAAGGGGGTTAAGGCCGACAAAAAAAACAGCCAGGATTGTTAGGGAAAGCAATGAAGTCCTCCATGATCTCGGGACTGGTGCTGGCGAAATGGGACAGTGGCACTTGCACGCACATGAAAATCGCAATATATTCATTCAAAACGGGCCATTATTGGTGAGATTTTATTACGGCAACATTGTGAGATGAGACGGAGTTGGGAACACAAATAGGTTGGGTTCAGTATATTCTGTTTGAAATTTATTGCACGATTTAACGATATAAAGATATAATATTATTACCAATATAGCTAGATCTACTATTCATTGACTTCTTGATATCCTCCCCTTCTTGCTCTCAGATGGATGAAGCGCCAGTCTTGCACATTGCTACACCAAAAATTGGTGGTCCTTCGCAAAAGCCCCTAAACTGAGAAACAAATTCACCATCGCAGCACAAAATAGTATCGTTAAGGACAAAATTGTTTCCAACCCTTGTACCTGCTGTGCCCAATTCTTCTAGTAAATCAGCAACTTTCTTGTCGTCGTAGTTGTCGTCTGCGTTGCTGGTGCATGTCCCGACATCCCCCTTTGCGCCCCGCGAGCCTACGAGTGTCACACTACCGCCGAGGACGGTGTGGAAAAGGCAGAGCCCAATCGAAATCGAATACAGAGACACCCGCATTTTGAGTGAGGAATGCGCTGTGCGAGTTTTATAATTAAGGGTTGTAGATGGCGTTAAATGTGGGAAAGTTTGAGAATCATACTTTTTTGTAGTTTGTTTTGGTTTATAATACTTAACAACTACCAAGGGACTTTTATCCTATATTTATAGTAAATTTGAAGCAACACTTGCCCTAACCTCAATCTATAAATTTAAGATCTGTTTTAGCTCAATTAAAACAAAATCACTCCTTACCTACGGTTAGAGGCGAGTATCACATCGTATGCTAACCTAATTCGCGAAGCTGAGTCTGTTATAGTCTATGATTATAACCGTATCCAAGTTATCACAAGTAGGCATTCACCTACCAATCTTGTCTTCCTGCAACAGCAATGAGCCCTAGAATACAGTAACTAGGCAAGAGTTTAATGTGTGCAGAGTTGACCCAGTTGATAAAGAAGTGGCGTTTTTGCTCCTTGTGGTGGTAGTCCAGGCTGGCTAAACCATCCGTGTTAGGTTATCACAAACGTTTGTGCTGAGCTGAACTGAGACAGAGACTGGGGGCTGGTCGAAATGTAAACCTTTTCTTGAACTCTGTTGAGGTCAGCCACTGTACGACGGTGAACAATATCATCGAACAAATGACATATGGGTGGTTGGTAAATTAACAAATACTACTAGATGTGTGGAGATTTGAAGGATAGGCTGAGAATATGTGCCTGGGTGATTTACATGAAAAGGGGCTGGGATTGGATCGGGTTGGGCATCTATCTCGGGATAGGAGACGGCGGGAGGCTGTATACGGTATATCGAAGATTAGGAATGGAAAGGCCGGATGGGATGGGTTGTCTCTATAGCTTGAAATCTTGAGAGTAGCTGGAGATGGCATTGCAGGCACTGACCGATGATTGCCATGGCGGCAAGAAAAGCCACACGAGAACTGGCTGCATTGCATGCATATGCACATGCGCCTCCCTCCTGTCATCACATCACTTAAACCACGCGTTAGTCACGACGACACCGGCAAACACGGCCTTCAACAAGGAACAGAGCTTTCAAAAAAGAATCACAAGTTTTTTTTTAATATCTTGGTAAAACACAAGACAAGACAAGACAAGAAATTTACCCTCCCCCCTCGCCTAGTCCATCCAGTAGTAGTCCCATGAAAAAAAAAACACAAAAGTTGCCAAGCGCGTAAAACTTCCTACTCCAGGTCCGTCACTAGGCTAACTAGGGCCCGTAAAACTGCGTGGCTACCCATCCCTTCAGCGCTCAACCGGTAGGTGCTGAGAGCGCGAGATAGGGGACTTTGCAAGAGTTGAGAGAGGCCCGACGGGAAAAGTGCGGGGTAATGCACCTAACTCGCCATGTAGGTGCTGGCGTCGATACCACCCTCTGGGAACTCACTGTAAGGGGTTAGAATTTTGTTTATGTATAAATCTCACTAGGAAGGTGTAACTTACGGAAGGGCAACCTCGAAGCGCTTCTCAATATCCTTCAGGACCTGCTGGTCGGGCTCGCTGCTCACGAAGGAGATGGAGACACCCTTGGATCCGAAACGGCCGGCACGACCCACACGATGGAGGTAGGAGTCGGCGTCACCGGGGAGATCGTAGTTGATGGCAAGGTTGATACGCTCGATATCAATACCACGTCCGAAGACGTCAGTAGCGACACAGATACGCTTGTTGAACTCCTTGAACTCAGTGTAGCGCTTGATACTAGGATATTGTTAGATGCATGAAGGATAAAGGGGCTAGAAAGTACAAACCGCTCTTCTTGGCTGACACCGGAGTGAACTGCGATAGACGGGAAGTTACACTCGCGGAGGAGCTTGTCGAGCTCAGTGGCACGCAGGGTGCTCTTGACAAAGATGATGACCTGGTTAAACTGCATATCGTCAAGAAGCTCATTGAGCTTGCGGTTCTTCTCCTTCTCATCAAGCTTGATATAGTACTGCTGAAGACCGTGCAGGGTGAGTTTGGTGTCGTCATCAACGTAAATCTCAAGGGGGTTCTGCATGAACTTCTTGCAGATCGGGCGGACTTCCTGGGACAGGGTGGCGCTGAACATCATGACTTGCTTCTGGGTTGGCGTGGCGCGGAAGATCTCCTGGACGTCGCGGCGCATGTCTGGAAGAGGAGTCAGTACCTCTGACTTTAGTGAGGAAATATACCATACCAATCTGGTCGAGCATCTTGTCACACTCATCGAGGACGAAGACCTTGACGCTTCCGAGGCGGAGGTGCTTGTCACGGACCAAGGCGTTCAAACGACCGGGGGTGGCGACGATGATGTGCGGGTGGGTGTCCTTGTTCTTCAGGATCTCGGCGTCCTTCTGGATCGGGGTTCCACCGTAGAAGACAGCGGTCTTGACCTCTGGCATATACTTGCTGAATCTGGCGTATTCGTTCTTGATCTGGTAGGCCAACTCGCGAGTGTGGCACATGACGAGAACTGAGCACTCTCCGGAAACCGGCTCGACTTGTTGGAGGGTGGTCAGGACAAACACGGCAGTCTTACCAAGACCGGACTTGGCCTGGCAGAGAACGTCGGTTCCGAGAATTGCCTGAGGGATACACACTTGCTGGACTGTAGAATAAAGCGGGCCGAGTCAGATATAGTTTTCTCAAAATGAGTAGGATGTGTACGATCGCAGCGTCCGTCCATCATCGCAGCATCACCAAATAGCCAAAGCTTAACGTTCGCGACGGCCTCGTCTGGGCTCGATCTGTTCATGCCATAGTCGGGATATATGATATCCTGAGATTTCGCTCAAATATAAATATCCCTTGGAAGTCATAGATTCGCAAGCGAGTCGATCCTGGAGTCTCTTCGTGATGCCAGTTTTATATCTCCCACCACGACACTCTCCATCCGCACGTTGCACATGCAACCCCCAAGTTTGCTTTCGAGAAAACCTCGGAAAGATTCTCAAGAATTTGAGATAGGCCATTGGCAGAGACATCCAGGATCGCTCGTGTTGTTGGACGCTCCTCCAGCGTGATTTGGTTGTTCTTTTTGCTTGCGAGATGGACGGACGGACGGTTCAAGAAGGGTAACGACGAAGCTTAGGGATGAAAAACTAACCCTCCGATGGATGCTCGAAACCGCAATCAGTGATGGCCCGGAGAAGCTCTGGCTTCAGCAGGAAGTCGCGGAAACCGGTCGCGTGGATGCCGACGTATGATCCCTTCTTGTCGGGGTTACCTCCAGATACGGTCAGATCGCCCTCCTTGGCCTCTCCATTTCCGGCAGCAGCTGGCGCTGTGGTCTTTGTCTCAAGCTCATCATCGGAGTAATCAATGAGATCTTCTTCGGTAGACATGATGTGTGGTGGTTACGACCGGAGTCGAAGGTGTGGCAAGGTTGGTTTCGATGTTCAATCGCGACCTCTATGGAAGGTCTTGGAACAAGGCGATATGCGAAACTGCTATGCCAGTTATATGGGACGTATGTTCTATGACGCGAAATTGATGCCGATGGTCCCGATCTATAAAGTGGTCGAGGTTCGAATTCGATAGAATGGGGTTCAGGTGAGGTTGTTATTGATGTTGGCGAGAGGACCGTGTTCTTTGACAGGCAACCGAATCGAATTGTGCGCTAACACGCTAGGCCAGGTACAGCTAGCTCGGATGCGGCTCAACTTGGCACCGTAATTTATATATCTACGAGGGAACTTTCTCAAATTCAATTGGAACGATATTATGGCTAAAGCAAAGCAGGCAAAGGGGGCCAACGTGCCTCACAAGGCTCTGCATAGCAGGCTGTCTTATTTATACCAGGCGGCTACCTATCTATCAGCCCAGGAGAAGCCCTCCACAGCTCCAGCTATTCCTACCCCTCCACCAGTTCCCTCTCAACCCCACCTACAAAATGCTAGCAATGAAAGCAGCCACAACCAAGCACCAGCTGAGCCCCAGCCAGCCTCTTCTCAATTTCTCACGAGAGTACTACTTTCCGACCTCCGCACCGTCTCAATGAAAATGCAGATCCGCCTATCTCCAGGCATGAAACACACGATATGCAAACGCTGCGACGCGCTCGTACAAGACGGCTCGACCTGCGTGACCAAGATCGAGAACAAAAGCAAAAATGGCAGGAAACCCTGGGCTGATGTGCTGGTACGCACGTGCGGCAACTGTGGCTGCGAGAAGCGATTCCCCGTCAATGTGGAGAGGCAACCGCGGCGGCCGAACCGGGTGTCTAAAGCTACGACCCAAGTCGGCTGAGAGGATGCCAAGGGGATGTTTGATACAGGATCAAATACCCAGGAAATACGATTACTGTCCGATTATCGGCCGCGCCAGCTATGAGATGCCCTCGGAGGTTGACCTCCGCAAGGTTTCCCGAAGGAGTCACCGTATGAGTCTTACGGCGACTCATACGGTGACTCCTTCGGGAAACCGACTGATGGAAGCCAGTCAGCATTCTCAATCAGCTGTGCAGAAGAGTAAGATGTCAGGCTGACAAAAGAGTGTGCCACAAAGGTACTGCTCAAAGCCGCCCAACTGGCTCAGCCACTGGATTGTAAAGGTGACGTTGGTTTGGCTGGCATGACAGCCACCGCTGAAACTATGGGATGGGGGGCGGGGGTGTGATAGGGATGGTTGCCCCAGATATACACTGCATGCATTAAAAGCCATAGGCTCTCAGATGTCGTTGAAGTATAGTCTCATAGAAATGAAATAAGACAGCTTCAAAACATAACTCGTTATCATAGCCTGCTCGTTGCACATGATTTCGTCACTGTCTCCAGAGCAAATCAGAAGTCCACAAAATGGAGGGAGCTCAATGTCATTGTCAAGCAGAAGCAAGAACGATTCGTCCGATGTACAAATGCGCCTATGGTATGCGTCCCATCCTCCACAGACAATCGGCGCCATCCAGGAGCGACAAAACTCCACTCCTAAAACCACCGTCCATCTGATCCGGGCACATCCTCCACAATTTCCGTGTGCAAGACTTCCCCAGCTATCCCGTCCCGTCCATGACTGGTCGTTTAGGCAGTTGGGTTGGGGTTCATCTGCGCGCAGGTCAGTATTTGGGTTCGCGGTCGTAAGGACAGAGGTTTGACAAACCTTCCTCTTTCCTCCGGTGAGGGTGACGTTGACGAAACGGCGGGTGTACTGAATGCGCTTCTTGGCACGGCCCTTAGGGGTCTTCTTCTTCTCTTGCGGCTCGACCTATCGTAGAATATCAGCGTCCGGTTCGAATATTCGTGTCGTAGTCCATCCATAATATCGTCGAAGCTCCCGAAGTTGTCGCGCTCAAATCGCTGACATGTCCCGTCGTCACAGAAAACGTGTCGTCGATTGAGCCCTTCGAGCGAGCTTCGCCGTTCCTCCCAACCCTCATTTCCATCCTCCAAAGCAACGCAGTTTCAGAGATCATCGTACCTTTGGTGTCTGAGACTTGACCTTTCCGGCACGTGCGAGGGATCCGTGGACTTTTCCCATGATGGCGGTTTATCGATTTCGTGGATGAGATCGACTGTTGATGGCGTTGCGATGGAAAGTTGTCGTCGTCGAGGTTCCAGTGACTCTCTCTGCACGCCTCTCGCTTAACGCTCCTTCTTGGTTCGGTTGATAGGGTTTACAATTTTCAAACCCCGTTAAGTCACATGACTGGTTTATGTGCTTACTCATGAATTAGTCATAATGTATCACATGATCTTCATCACATGATGTGACTAACAATTGAGCCTCGGTATATCACGGGGTGCGGGATAGGTTGGCGTCGGGGAAAATCGGTCTTACGATAAGGTTGAGGGTGCCGAGGTACGGATCCCTGCCGATAACGATCCTATCGTCATTCAAGGACAAAGGCAGCTGTATCTAAATTGTAGATATACAGAATCTTCAACATATCGTTCATTGTTGCGCCTCGAAAGACTCACGATTCTCTCAGAAATGGTGTATTGCAGATCGGCTTCTACGTAGAACTGATGCATGGGTAGTTATCAGTTTATCTTATGACGTAGCGCGGGACTCGAACTGCGATGATTGCAAAGTTGCAAGCCGAAGCCGCCTCCAATTGAGCTTCCCCACACTATCACAAGCGAATCCGATGTATGCAAAGACCTGGACCACCCTCCTACCTCCGTATACGCTCGGAGACATGGGTGGACATGAGTGGTTTGTACTGTAGATTTTAAAAAGATGCCGAATATCAAGGAGCCGTTTCCTCTTTTGTACCACTTGTGGCCACTCATATAGCCGTAATATCAAAATCGTCACCATTTTGGTACCGGAGCGCTCGCGGACTTCCTCACCCGTTCTCCAAGTCACTCTCCCCATATATGCATTGAGTTTCCCCTCATATATCTTGCCTTCCCCGCCGAGGTATACCATAAACTTCATCACCGCAAATCTATACACATATTTTCGCAAAGATGGCTAGCATTGATTCTATCATCCAGGGTGTCAACATCACTGGCACCATCAACGAGTCCAACAAGAAGATTCTCACCAAAGATGCCATCGCTTTCCTTGCCCTCCTCCACAGATCCTTCGACCCAAGGAGGAAAGAGCTTCTCCACCGCCGTGTGATCAGGCAAGCAGAGCTTGACAGGGGCGCTCTCCCAGATTTCCTCCCAGAGACCAAGCACATCAGAGACGATGCGACATGGAGGGCAGCAGTGCCAGCACCAGGGTTGGCTGACCGCAGAGTTGAGATCACTGGCCCAACTGACAGGAAAATGATCATCAACGCCTTGAACTCGAATGTCTGGACTTATATGGCCGATTTGGAAGGTATGTAGCCCCAGCTATTCCCGATGCCAAGTTGCGAGACTAACATGCTTTGTTCTCAGATTCCAGCGCCCCAACCTGGGCCAACATGATCGGTGGCCAGGTCAACCTCTACGATGCCATCCGCAGGCAGGTGGACTTCAAGCTCGGCGGAAAGGAGTACAAGCTCCGCACCGACCGCGCCCTGCCCACTCTGATCGTCAGGCCGAGAGGATGGCACTTGGAGGAGAAGCACTTCACCGTTGACGGTGAGCCCATCTCGGGATCCCTCTTCGACTTCGGTCTTTACTTCTTCCACAACGCCAAGGAGCTCGTCAAGCGTGGCCATGGACCATACTTCTACCTCCCAAAGCTGGAGTCTCATCTCGAGGCCCGCCTGTGGAATGACGTCTTCAACCTTGCCCAAGATAAGATCGGCATGTCGAGAGGCACCATCCGTGGTACCGTTCTCATCGAGACCATCCTGGCCGCCTTCGAGATGGACGAGATCATCTTCGAGTTGAGGGATCACAGCTCCGGACTTAACTGCGGACGCTGGGATTATATCTTCAGCGTGATCAAGAAGTTCCGCCAGAACCCCAACTTCATCCTCCCCGACCGTTCGGCCGTCACCATGACCGTCCCATTCATGGACGCCTACGTCAAGCTCCTCATCCAGACCTGCCACAAGCGCCAGGTTGCCGCCATGGGAGGAATGGCCGCCCAGATCCCTATCAAGGACGACAAGGCCGCCAACGACAAGGCCATGGAGGGTGTCTACGCCGACAAGCTCCGCGAGGTCAAGGCCGGCCACGACGGAACCTGGGTTGCTCACCCCGCCCTCGCATCCATCGCATCCGAGGTCTTCAACAAGCACATGCCCACACCCAACCAGTACTTCGTCCGCCGCGAGGATGTCAAGATCACCGCCAACGACCTGCTCAACATGAACGTCCCCGGCCAAATCACCGAGGAGGGTATCCGCAAGAACCTGAACATCGGTCTCGGATACATGGAGGGATGGCTCCGTGGCGTTGGCTGTGTCCCCATCAACTACCTGATGGAGGATGCCGCTACCGCCGAGGTCAGCCGCAGTCAGCTGTGGCAGTGGGTTCGCCACGGTGTCTCCACCGCTGATGGCAAGAAGGTTGACAAGGCGTACGCGCTCAAGCTTCTCAAGGAGCAGACCGAGGAGCTGGCCTCCAAGGCATCGAAGGGCAACAAGTACCACCTCGCGGCACAGTACTTCGCTGGCCAGGTTACTGGTGAGGACTACGCCGACTTCTTGACCTCGTTGCTCTACAACGAGATCACCAGCGTGGGCACGGGATCGCCAGCTTCCAAGTTGTAGATTGTTACCGGCATCGTGATGACGCCTGGGGACAACCTAGCGCGTCTGTATTTGTTTATGACCTGCTTTCCAGCGATGATATCTGTAGGAACAGTCTTGATAGGAGACGGAGATGGAGCGCTCTTGGGAATTATTTAAAATAGTTTGAAATATATCCTATGATCAAGAACGATAGTTACACTTACTTGCCTTACCTGCTGCTAACTGTCCTCGTGAGCCTAGAGGCGATATGTAGCGGTGTCAATCGCTCTTTCCGTATTTGTTGAAAGTTCACATCAATCGCTCTTTCCATATTCATAGTAAGGGATGATCAATCGCTCCTTCCATATTCATTATAAGGGTCATATCAATCGCTCTTTCCGTATTCATTGTAAGGTTCATAGCTGTAGAACTTAATCCATCATCCACCAAGAACCGTGCTTTTGATATAACCCCTCTTCCCCTCCGCTCCGCCCCTCCTCGCGCCAAGCCTTGCGGCTCCCCCTTGGCGCACACCCGCCGCCAAATTCCCGCCCTGATGCACGCCCCTTCCGCCCCGCCCACAACAATCCCGCTCCTCCCATTGGATACTAAGTGAGCACATTTGCGAGAGATACACTTTGCACAACCACCGCACAAAGACGTAAGGGTAGCGTAGGCCATGCGACGGCGCCATGGCCGGTCCCACGAAGGTAGGTCGTGGTCAAGGGGAGAGGGTTTATCGTCTCACGTTTTCCTTTTCTCCTTCTGATTATATTCTGCTCGTACGGTTTATTAAGACATTTCTGCAACCCATTAAGACATTTCTGCAACCCTCCCCTCCCCCTACATAAGCGAGTTGAGCACGTTTTGGAGCGCAATCTTGCTCACACAGCAGCTTTATAAGGAACGGCGGACTCTGGAAAGTTGGTGGTTACTGGACTAGACCGATCAAAGACTCGAGCTCGAATACCTCATACGAATCAGCAAAGTCGCAGCAGGAATCGACGGACCGAATCTTCCTCCAATTCAACCCACAGCGGAAATCAGCGACAATGGCGGACAACCCCTTCGCGACTGGCACCCCCACCTCCTCCTCCTCCGGCGACATGTCCGGCATGGACATGTCCCACGGCTCCTCCTCCACCATGTCGATGGTCATGACCTTCCAAAACGACCCCTCCACGCCCCTCTTCAGCACCGCATGGACCCCCACAGGCACCGGCTCCTACGCGGGGACCTGCATCTTCCTCATCATCCTCGCTGTCCTCTTCCGGATCCTATTAGCCCTCAAGGCGCGCCAAGAAGCTCGCTGGCTCGATGCTGAGATGCACCGCCGCTATGTCGCGGTTGCGGGGAAGCCGGGTCTGAAGGAGACGGTTGCGCTGCATAAGGATGCGAAGGCCGTGGTGCTGAGTGAGAATGGGGTGGAGGAGGAGGTTGTGGTTGTGCAGCGGAAGGGAGAGATGACGAGACCGTGGAGGGTGAGCGTTGATCCGTTGAGGGCGGTGGTGGATACGGTTATTGCGGGCGTGGGATACTTACTGTATGTGTCACTCTTTCCCACTCATGTGATTGTGGATTGATACTAACGGATCGCAGAATGTTGGCGGTTATGACCATGAACGTGGGATATTTCCTCTCCGTCCTCGCCGGCGTATTCCTGGGTAGCTTAGCGATAGGGCGGTACACCACGAACTACGAGGGCCATTGAGTGAAGGCTGAAAACGGGCTGCTTGGGCGTTAGGATACAGACATTCGGGTCGGCGTTAATGGGATAACCTACCTGCATGCCACACACGGCCTGGCTAGGCTATGGCATGTATGGGTTGTTATACGAGATATGATATACGAATACCACCTGTAGCGGATAGAAATCCATTAATATATATTCCACTTTTACATCCATCAGCAAGAATTTGGTGGTGGCCGACATGTAACTTCCTAATGGGCGATGGAGACGTATAATGCCGTTGTAACCTGCCGCGTTTTGTCTCCTGGGTTCCTGGTAAAAAGTTTGAGTCTCGAAATCCTACGCGCGTCGCCGCACTGTTTAATAGTTCAGTTTTTTAGATGCCCTTCGCCATGTTTTGTTATTTTTGTCTTAGTTCGGTTTAGTTCTAGATGTGGGAGTAGACGGTAAGATGATCGACACCGTAGGAATGGGACGGCAGAGCAGTGGAGGCACGCTATCAATAGAGTACGCGGCAGGTGAATACCGACCACTGTACGCGTATTAGCGGAAGAAAGTAGCTGTAGTCGTCATCAACGGCAAGGAGAATCGTATTCGGTGTTAGAAAGTCCTGCAAATGCAGACGACTACGAGTCCATGTAGCTGCAAGTCTATTTTATTTGGAAATAAGCCATTGATCACTAAGATCTGTTGTCACAACAGTGAGAGTGAAACAATGCAGCCAGAAGATACCGTGTGGAAAATATCATCATTTTCATTGCATCGTTTAAATCGAAATGCTAGATAGATCAGACCACACATCCGTAGATTCCCAGGTCTCTGCCTGCGTAAAACGCGCCGCATACAATTCCCAAATTCAAACATATCCAAAATCCCCTCCACCTACACGCACTCCTCGCTCCTCAACTTCCTAAACTCCAACACCGCCTGCATATTCGGCACACACGCACTCTCCTTAATAAAGCTCGGCGGCCTATCTCCCCCCTCCCTCTTCGTATCCCCCTTCAACCTCACATCCCAATTCCTCAACAACTCAATAAGCACAACCTTAATCTCATTACTAGCAAAGAACCTCCCCGGACACGCATGAATCCCGTGACCGAAGGACAAACTATCCTCCCCCGTCGTGACGAACTGGTGACGATTCTCCTTGCCGGGCATCTCGCGCAGCTTGTAGAAGCGCAGGCCGTCGAAGACGGAGGGCGGGGCGTAGGAGGCGGGGTTGTATTCGGGTGAGAAGGTGGTGGTGCGGGTGGAGCGGTGGATGGCTTCGGAGGCGAAGGCGAAGCGCGTGTTGGTGGGGATAGTATGGCCGGTGGAGAGGGTAAGCGGGGCGGTGGTGACGCGCTGCATGGAGGCTGGGGGTTTTGTTAGAATGGGAGTGGTTTGAGAGGGTGGGGGGACAAACTGATGCCGGGAGGTGAGAGTCTTTGGCTTTCTTTGAGGAAGCTGTCGAGCTTGCGGAGCTTGGTGTAGGAGGACTTCTTTAGCTTCGTGAATCCATCGCCATCGATGTCGTAGCCGTCTTCGGCGAGGACCTCTTTGATCTCCTCACGGAGACCCTTGATGTACTCAGGACGTGCAGCGAGATCAAAGACCACTTGCGAGAGTGCCATAGAGCTGGTGTGAATAGCTGCAAATGATACTAGATAGGCGATTAGTAAACGGGCAGCCGGACGTGGGGGACAATATACTCACGGGACATCTGGGAGTTGGCCAAGTTCAGTGCGCTCGCGCGGTCCTTCTCAGCAGTGTACTTCAGAACCCATGAACAGAACGTTCCCTGCTGATCGTCGAATCCGTTCAACCCGGGTTTCTCACTGGCCTCCCTCTCGAGGAGATCATTAAGGAGAGGCTGCAACAAGTCCGCACCGTCCTGTCGGTGCTTCTTCAGGTCCTTGACTTCCTTTAGGTAGGGACCGACGATGTTGCGGATGTATGGGCTGTATCTTTTGCAGGCATCGGAGGCCTGGATGCAAGCCCACGTGTAGTTGATCGTTGCTTTCAGCCACGCTTCATCGCGGCTTAGAGGCCGACCAACGAAGACGCGGCCGCTGAGAAGAGCGACTATCCGGGTGAGCTTGAAATATACGGGCTGCGGCGTCCAGTCTTCGCATGGGCCAAATTCGGAGTTGATAGCATAGCGAGTCTCATCCTGGAGTCCATCGAGGACGCTGGCGAGGTGCCTGGTAAGGTCGATCTTAACGGCAGAGAGGATCTCATGTGATTCCTCGCCAATGCCAGTTACCTTGCTAGTAAACATATGCTGGACATCTTTCATGAATGATACTTTGTTTTCTGGTAGGGACTTGACTTCATTCACACATGCGTGTGGTAGAATAACCATCGGCGGGTTGGTTGGGAGGACAAACGGCGAATCGGGATACTTCATGGAGGTGTTAGCACCAATGCCCAATCCTGCGTCTGATAGCTCTGTGTAGACTTACCTTTGAGAAGCCCTCATCAAGAGCTCGATCATAGCCTAAGTCATCGCCCAGCTCGACAACAGGGAAGTTAAGCCGCTGCGGGCGCTGGACGAAATAGTATATGAGAGAGACGACGAGAAGAACGCATGCAAAACTTGCTGCAGCGGGGGACTCAGCCGCGAAGTCCTTGAGGGCATCGACAAACATGTTGAAAGGGTGTGAGTTGACCTTCTACACAACTGCAGATCTGTGTATATTTAATCTCCACCACAGCGTAGAGTAAAATAGAGTTTTATGGTAGGGCCAGCGGCCACGGGGCAAGATAAGGGATGAGCAAGAAAGTATGAGATGAGACACACAAGATCGATGACGAGGTGAGACAGAGAACAGGGACAATAGACGCTTCATAAGGAGACACATTGGATGTGCTGTTTAAATATGTCTTACCTCCCATCACTAATTGCCCAGACATCTTCCTCGCAAGAATGCGCCGATCAGGCAATGTCCGAGTACGAAATCCGCGACAGAGCAGCTTTGAACATCGTTGGTTTCATTTGGGCCAGATCTGCATGCCACACATGGTTCTCCATCCTAGAGTCGCCATCAGATGACGCTCTGCGGAGTAATAGCCCCGTCGAGAATGGCTCATCTACTAAGTAGGGATCCGCCGCGATATTCCTTTAGTGGACGTTGTGGGCGCTGCTAGTGCCCGGTGGCTGGCTTGGCCAGTGCAGTTCGTTCTGCGGAGGCACTTTAACCAAACAATACCTGCCCCCATTCGGATGAGATGGGCAATATGAGATGTTGTGTCACAAAATCCTGCTTTGCCTCCGTGGTCGTGTCAATATGTCAATATGTCTGTCTATATGTAAATATGTCTCAACCCCCCTTAGTTGACTCGGGCTGGCTCTCTCCCGAGAGGAGGCACAACATCGTCCACGCGAGACCAAGGAGGATAATATTTTCATAATTCCATAAATTATACAGGAAGACGGCAGGACGAGGTTCACATTGGTTCGGGGTGACACCGAATTTGTCCAGGCGGGGACGGTTTAGATAGAGTAGTCTAGATACCTGCGGTATATATTAGCCCGCATATCGATCGGCCGGCTCGTGCGAACCCGAATGCGAGTGCGAGGACGTTGCAGTATTACTGCACCTTCGTTTCTCAACGCATATCGGACTCGTCCCAGATCACCAGGCGGTCCGATGCATGTAACTCTCCTCGAAACGTCGTTGTGCAGCCAGTCGGAAGAGCAGCATTACGAGAGGGGTGCACGACATTGTCTAAAAGCACTCTAAACATAGAGTAGAGTAGAGTAGAGTATCGGTCTGCCGCGAGTTAGGAGCACGAGCACGAGCACGAGTAGTTTGTAGTACGCTGCTCGTACTCGTAATTCATGCTCGTATACTCATACGCCCATACTTCATTCTTGTGCTTCATATATCCGTTGCTTCAAACTCATCGTTTTGTACTTGTATAACTTGCCATCATGTCGGTACGCAACCAACAAGGCTACGAAGCTGAGAGGGGGCTAACCGAAGGTTACATGTCTGTCCCACTGCAGCATCCCGGGCCAGCTCCAAACCCCAAGCAAGCTCAACGCAACCCCTGCCGCCCCGCCAACGACGAACGACCACAAACATACCCACGCTCCAATCGCGTCCCAACCCCACATTGCACTGAACGAACTCTCGGAGTAAACAGTCGAGAGCCTCACGATCGCCGCCACCACTACCGTCAATATCATAGGCACGAACATTTAAAACCACATATCGAACACTTACGACGACGCGCACAGGGCACCCCAATCGAAGCAAGGAATGGCATCCTCCTCACGCGGGCCCCCGCGCCTGAGCACAGCACCCAGCAGCATCAAGCCGCGTCAACTCGTACGTCCCCCCCCCACCGCCCCGATCTTCCCCTCCGAACCCCCCCCGACTCGTCTGGAATGAGCGCGTAGTATTTAGCACTAGCATCTCGCTGACATTCCCGCGCCACAGTCCCACCTCCACGCGCAACTGGCGCAGCTGAGCGCCAACCTGGCGGATCTCGAGAATCTGGTGCGCATGACGAGTGTGCAGGCTGAGTGTGTACGGGGGCTGGGGGGGTGGCATGGGGGGTTGTGAGTTTTTCTATTTTCTTTGTTGGGGGGCGCAGGAGGCTGGAATGGGAGCTAATATAAGTGATAGATTTATGGCTGCCTCGAAGGTGTTGGGGGAGGAGACTGTGGCGGGGGGTGGACAGGAGGGGTCGCAGGCGGGGGATACGTGAGCGGGAGGGGATGGAAGGGATATTTCATACTCGAGTAAAGGGAGGGCCCGGGAGACTGGTTGACAATGAATAGAGGGATGGCTGTGCGACGCCGACGTGATGGGAGGTGTGTGAGCCACGGTGTATTTGATATCACAAAGTGGCGGTCAGGGATAGCTGAGCCCAGGGCGTGGGATGAATCATTACACAAGGGGCGGATGTTGGGGGTGCGGGAGAAACCATTGCCTACAGGGGGGCGAAATTGGGGGAGGGGTTGGTGGCAAATGGAGTTAAGATACCTGGGAGATTTGTGGGAGTTTTGTCAAGAAAGACACGGCATGTTCAGAAGCACACAGAATATTACAACGGAGTATTATCTTTGAAAGCCATGCATTCGCAACGCGATAATAAGCTATTCCTTCCACCCCACCCGCAACGTTTCTCTCTCCATTAGCGTCCAACACGTCGATCATTCCATGGCAACAAGCCATCAAGCACCCAAACGGCTCTCTTCGAGCAAAAACCAGGCAAACATGCATGAGGAACCGGGAAACCAAAGATGGAAGTAATGAAAAGCCCGAGGGTGCATAAATGTCTTGCACATGCAAGCTGTGTATCGCGGCGGACTCCGATGGCAACGTAATCGTTTTCGTAAATCGTTGCATTGTTGTAATCTGAGTATGTAGATAGAAAGGCGGTTATGTCGGATTTGCAAAAGCTAAACCAAAAAGCGGGAAAGTAGATTGGGTATGTGTCTATGGCTTTATGTGATTATTATTTGCAGAGTGCTGAAAAGATCAGGCGAAAGGAAAACCCTGTTCCAGGACTGGAAAGGAGTGCGAAAAACCGCGAAAAACCGCGGAAGATCGCGAAAGATTGCGGGATAGCGCAATGGACCGCGAGACAGCGCGAAGGCTCGCGATATAGCGCTTGGAGTCCATGAATATCATAGCTCGAATGTGGCTCATAACTTCGTAACTCCCAACAGCAGCGCAGGCTGAGATCAAAAGATCAACACCTTAATCTCTCGGCCGAACACGCCTCATACTAGGGGCAGCATTGCCATCAGATTCATGGAGACGCTTCCGAGGCTTGATCGTCTGTATCATCGGAGCCATCGGAGCCATCGGTGCCTCCCATCCAGGCTCCGGACTGAATACCCCGCCGTTCGTCATTATCGGACTGCCGTTCGCAATCGAAGCCGTCAAGGAGCTCATGCCCACTCTCCCTGACCGAGTGGACCTTACACCATCATTTTGATCTACTCCACGCATTGGCAGCGCGGATGACGCATCTGTATTTCTGCGTGCGGAGGTGCGTCGGCCCGCTTGATTATCGGGAGTGTCGCTATCGATTTCAATTGGAAGGTTTTCCTGTGGCACAGGAGCCGCCGCACGTCGTCTCGACGCCCCTGCTCCACCGCGGAGCTGGATCAAGTCGACATCGATGAATTGGTAGGAATCAGCCCAGCATGTGTTGTTCAGCCGCAGGTCTTTGTTCTTCTGACGGAGGTAGACGCGCATTTCCATGATGTCGCCTTGGAGCATCTGGTTAGTTCTATCGTCCATATGGCGGAGGAGCAAGATGGAGGTGGCGACAACCTCGAGCGGTGAAAAGGTCTTGACATGGGTGACCCCTCTGTTCCTTAGGCCCTCCGGAGCGGGTGCAAAGCAACTGTCCTTCTTGATCGCGAGTCCGGTGGGAGAACCCTTATCTGGCTCTGAGCACGATGCGATGAGCTCGGCATATTTGTCGAAAACCCTCTTGAACTTTCTCTTCACGCTTTCGTTTAGGGATGGCGTATCCATAAGAAGCTTTGTAAGGTTTGATGGGGTGGCTTGGTAAGTTGGCTTCCATCCTGCTCCTTCTCTGTTCTTTTTCTTGTCGCCGCTTGGAGACATGACTTCCATGATCTGGCAGAATATTGACATGATCTGACGGAAGCCCGAGGCCCTACTCTGTCTACCTAGAGATAGGACGGCTGGGTAATCGCTCTCATACTGCTTTGCGAAATTTGCCCATGGTGTCGACATGGCACGCATCTTTTCAGCTGGGGTAAGTGGCATCCCGCGTTGGACGAGCTGGAACATCGTCTCTTCAACAGAAGGCGTCAGTTTCTGGTATTCATAGCAGCAGAACATTCGTGACTCGAAAAACTTCTTTGTATTCAGCGGCAGGATATTGTGGTTTGATTGCTTTTCAACACCGCCGACCTTTGGGTGGCAGAAATACCACTTCTTCGGTGGATGCGACGAGTCAGACACCCCGATTTTGCCCTCCATGAATTTCTGAAGTGACGTGAGACGTTGCTTTCCATCAACACAAATCCGGCAATGTCGCATTACTTCTTCGCCGTTATCCGACGTCTCCCATTCTTCAAGCACGTTGAAGATTATGGGGGGAATGAAGTAGCCTTGCAGGACAGAGGCAATTAGGCCTGACGACCTCGTCTCATCCCAGACCACATCTCGCTGATACTCAGGGTCCAGCTTCAGGTATTTCGTCTTGCTCAAGTCTGCTTACGTGTCAGTATTACATGGAGTATGGATATGGCAAGGGACATACTATATAGACTCACGAGTGTACGCTGAACGATAAATGGGGATGCGACTTGGCGTATCTTGAAGTCGGCATCAGAGTACATAGGGACTCCATCAGCATCGGCAAGAAGCCCTTCTGCCTCATCGTCGACATCTTCGAAATCATCATCATCATTATCGCCAACGGCAGTGGGGCTCTCTACCCTCTCTGCTTTGACACGGACGCTTGGGTCATATTTGACTGGCGGGACGTAGTCATCTTGAGAGACCATCAAGGAAGATGACGGATTAGATGAGCTTAGGGGTCTTTGTGGCGGCATGGTTGGCCTTTGGGCACAGTTGTGCCTTCTGTCCCAAGACTGACCTGCTCATCCAAGTTAGCCATTGTATTGCAGGAGAATAAGCAAGAGTCGCTGTTATTTATGACCGATAATCTTAAATGTAAGATCTTCATCCCAGGAAAGAAGTAGGTGCTCCGACAAAGAGCACGTGAACAGGGTTGAAAAGAATACGCCTTGAACAAAGGGAGACGAAGCACCGACACAGCAGAGGGCTCGCATTTGGCCGCTAAGTGGATTGGTGCTTCATAAAAAAAGCCTTGAAAACAGAGCACTGAAAGAGACAAGTGAAGTCGAGTGCTGGTGTAAGGGATGCACACAGATGAGCCTGCGTGGTATCCCTACAAGCCATATCGAGGTTGACTTGGAAGGTGGATTGAACTGTAGAACCCAATGAAATTCATTTTCGAAACAGAGTGAAATCGCTCAGATAACCCACGGAGGGTCAGCCATAGCCCATTGGTTGCAGTTGTGTTGCAACCTACATACAAAATGATGTGAGGTTGTTGCCTCTGAGAGTCCGGAAGCCAGTAGCATGTGATGTGCTTTTGATCAATTTATAGTGCAGACCAAAAGTCCCCAAAGGGCTAGGCTACAAGGGCTTGAGGGTCAAGAAGTGAGGCATGGACTCTTGTCTTACCTATGGGGTTGTCTGCAGCAAGGTTGGTAGGAATACACTTCACCTTCTAGAGCAGTGGTGCAGTTGTGGTGCCTTGGTATAAATATAGGTGGAAGTAGAAAGTTATGTAAAAAGTAGTGTAGAAGGTGGTGTGCAAGAGGGTTGACACAAATGGTTGGGTAGAAAGCAGTGTAGCAGCTTTGTGGAATTTTAGATAAGGGTTAGCTGAGGATAAGGAAGGATAAGGAAGGAAGAAAGCCAAAAAATAAAAGTAGGGGCAAGAGCTAAGTATTTATAATACTTAGCCTTTACCCCTCTTTCTATAACTATGTAATGTAACATTACATTTTAATCTATAAAATAAGTACTAGAGGTAGTAATGTTTCATTTAAATCTAGAATATATATATAATAAGTACTAGAGGCTATAGCATTCTATTTTAATTTATAAAATCTATAACGTATTTCACAAGCGAATGAACAACCTAAGCGAGTGAACAACTAAAACACTAAAATTGACTATTACTACCTACTACTACACCACCACCCTACATAATAACCCTTATTCAATTGCAATTGATTCCTAGCGCCTCTCGCACGTACGAGCATTATGCCCTATATTACCACATGTGCCACATCGCCGCTGTCGGCCTATAGAACCCACCTGCCGAGTAGTCTCACTTACTACCTCCGTACGAACTTAAGCATTAACCTTAGCAGTCTAAAGGATATCCTCTGCATCTCGTACGGAGAGACTGCCCCCTTACATTATACGTCTCTTACGCTTCCTTTCCCTCCTCTTTTTCTGTTCATTTGCTGCTTATAGAGCCTTAACTTCTACCTTTAGTAGAATAGCAGAATGCATCATAACCTAAGCTCCCTTTATAAGCTAGCTTAGTGCATCATTAATTAAGCTAGGAGAGCTATTCTAATGTCGTACAACATAGTTCTTAATATGCTCTATTTAAAAATCAAGCTCCCTTATAGTTTAAGGAGTCTTTAAAGTCTAATTGCTACTCTTAACTATAGGAGGAGTTAGAGTTCTTAAGTGTAGATTTAAGTAAGAGAGAACATTCTACAGTTTATATGGAACTAGTCCTATAGCTTAGAACCTACTCTTAATGTTCTGCTCTATAAATGTAGCTTTAAATGCTTCTTTAAATGTAGAGAGAAACTCAAGCTTTATAATGTAGTTTAGCTAGTTCTATACAAAAGCTTTAATCTACTTTCTATACGAAAGCTTTAGTAGCGTAAAGCAGCTTACATTAAGAGGCTAAAGAATGTATAATGAGTGTAGTAGCATATAGAGGGTAATTATCTTCTATTCTATATAGTAGTGTTAAAATTAAGTAGAGAGGTAGCTCTTATGTCCGTTAAGAATAAGAAGGTAATAGGTGCTAATCATATAAGCATTTGTATGCTAATTAAAGTGCTAAATCTACTCGTACCTAATTAAATTTAAAGTCTACCTATTCTCACTTAGTGTAATTACCTAATCGTTTAGTAATCCTAAGTTCTTATACGAAGTAGAGAGGTGATTCTACGCTTTAAAAATAATAAACAGCAAGAGTGCCTATCTATACAAATTAACACCTTAAATAATTAATACCTACTCTCTATTTCTAGGCTATATAGTCTTTAGATAGCTCTTTGCTTCTAAGCTTATAACTACCTTTATAGTAGCAATAACTCCTATTATAAAACCTACTTCATTAAAGTTGTAGATATCCTACTCTAAGATTCTATATTTTGCAACTGTATTTCGTATAAGGGAGAACTACTCTTTAATTATCTTAGGATCTTTGCATTTTACTCGTTTATAATCGTACTTCTAACTAAACTTTGCTTTGATTTCTATACGATGCTTAATGAAGTTAGTAGTCTAGTTCTTCCTAATAGGGCTCTCGCCTCGTTTAGAGAGTAGTAGGTTGGCCATTTCTTATATAGCTTGTAGCTAAGGTGGAAATCCACGTAAATTAAGGTTAAGGATATACTAAACGAGAGCTGACTCTTCATACAGAGTCATCTTACGTAAGTTAGGAGTATAGTCGCGTTGCGAAGGCATGCCACAAAATCGTCGATATAGAGTTAAATATAGTACGTCATATGTTGTTGTAGCTGCCTAAACACTTTAAATATGCCCTTGTTTAATTGCTTGAATAGCTAGAACAATATTACCCTCTTAAATAGAGGGTATAGCTCGTTGTAGTAGTGACATTATAGTCTATTAGTTAGTTAACGCGTTTTAGTGTTTTAGTTGTTCACTCGCTTAGGTTGTTCATTCGCTTGTGAAATACGTTACTAGATATAATTATAGCATAAAGTAATATACATTTTTAACATTTTACATAATAAATTAATTAGAATTATAGCTTCTTTATTTTCTATGTCTACTATTTTCTATCGTTTTTAGTAATTAATAATTTTATAATACTCTAAATTTAGATGCTTCTAGTATAAGTACTATTATATGTATATATATATTATCTAACGTATTTCATAAGCGAATGAACAACCTAAGCGAGTGAACAACTAAAACACTAAAACGCGTCAACTAACTAATAGACTATAATGTCACTACTATAACGAGCTATACCCTCTATTTAAGAGGGTAATATTGTTCTAGCTATTTAAGCAATTAAACAAGGGCATATTTAAAGTATTTAGGCAGCTGCAACAACATATAACGTACTATATTCAACTCTATATTAACGATTTCGTAGCATGCCTTTATAACGCAACTGTACTCCTAACTCACGTAAGATGACTCTATACAAAGAGTTAGCTCTCGTTTAGTATATCCTTAACCTTAATTCACGTGGATTTCTACCCTAGCTGTAAGCTGTATAAGAAATGGCTAACCTACTACTCTCTAAACAAGGTAGGAGCCCTATTAGGAAGAACTAGACTACTAACTTCATTAAGCGTCATATGGAAATCAAAGCAAAGTTTAGTTAGAAGTACGATTATAAACGAGTAAAATGTGAAGATCCTAAGATAATTAAAGAGTAGTTCTCCCTTATACAAAATATAGTTGCAAAATACAGAATCTTAGAGTAGGATATCTATAACTTTAATAAAGCAGGTTTTATAATAGGAGTTATTGCTACTACAAAGGTAGTTATAAGCTTAGAAGCAAAGGGCCGTCTAAAGACTATATAGCCTAGAAATAGAGAGTAGGTGTTAATTATTTAAGGTGTTAATTCGTACGGATAGGCACTCCTGCCGTTTATTATTTTTAAGGCGTAGAATCACCTCTCTACTTAGTACGAGAACTTAGGATTACTAGACGATTAGGTGATTATACTAAGTAAGAATGGGTAGACTTTAAATTCAATTAGGTATAAGTAGATTTAGCACTTTAATTAGCATACAAATGCTCGTACAATTGGCACCTATTACCTTCTTATTCTTAATAGACATAAGAGCTACCTCTCTGCTTAATTTCAACACTACTATATAGAACAGAAGATAATTACCCTTTATATGCTACTACACTCGTTGCATATTCTTTAGCCTCTTAATGTAAGCTACTTTGCGCTACTAAAGCTTTCGTATAGAAAGTAGATTAAAGCTTTCGTATAGAACTAGCTAAACCACATCATAAAGCTTAAGTTTCTCTCTACATTTAAAGAAGCATTCTATAAGGACGTAGGGCACTATATTACAAGAAGTTGCATATAGGAGTGCAAGTTAGATAGTAGTCGGTGCAATCCTATAGGTCTACTACAAAGGATATAAAAAAGATGAAGGTGTAACCCTATATGGCTATTCCCTTAAAATACCTAAAGCTGCTCTAACTTAGCTAGCTCCCTGTTTGCCTAAGGCTTCCTTACGTTATGTGCCTAAGGCTGTTAGTCGCAACTAACCCATAACGGCCCTAAGTCTCGATGGCGCTACGTAACGGCTATAACTACCCTAAGTAAGGAGGCATCCTTATACTACCCCCTGCCTTTAGAAGGTGCTTTATCCTTAAAGCATATAAGCCTACACTGTATGTAAGTTGTTATATGGGTTGTGTGGTGTAGAGGAGGAATTAAGACTAAGGAGCAACTATAACGAGCCTTTGTGTAGGTTGCTAGGTAAGGTGTAGGCGTAAAGACTAGAATGCCCTTTGTTTGTTAAGAAGGCTAATGGTAGGCAGCCGTATAGGTAGTAGAAGTAGTCTAAATCCGTTTACGTAAGGTTGCGTCTTTGTTGTGTATGTGGCGATTAGTAGGCGAGGGTCTATATTAGTATTAAATAGAGTCTACGTAGTATGTATGTTGTTGTAGAATTTCAATGTAAAGGGGAAATTTAGCGCTAACCCGATTTAGACGGCTTTGTTATAAGCTAGAATATGAATTCGAGCTTCGCCTACAACTTGTTGTTTTCTTCATAACGACGCTAACCCCCCCCCTCCTAAGACTAGTAAGTGGCCCCTCTAATGGTATAGCTAGATACTAACAGGTTGTTTTTAGATATAAACACATAACGAACGATTTAGTAGGTGCTAGGACCGCGCTAGCGCAGTGGTGATAACTTAGGCTAGGCTAGGCTAATGGGAAATTGTAGATTTCTAATTTAAAGATGCCGGTTCCCCCTCCTCCTAGCGCCCTTACTATGGCTTTCTACTAGTAGTATATGCACTACGTGCGTGCTAAAGGGCGCAAGAAGGACGGAGATCCCGCTGTCTCGTGTATGTAGAGCTTAGAAAGCTCTAAGTATAAGCGCTACGTAGTCTAACACGTAACGTGTGTTCTAGTAGGTTCTCGTTTAGCTTTTAGCTTTATGGTTTGTCTTAGCTGCCCGTCGCTAACCTCTAGAGATAGATCTCCTAGTTCGCTAGCCTAGAGTACTAGAAGCTCCTAGCTGCTAAGGCAGCAACCCCTCCTGTCCCTGCTGCCATTAAGGCCGCTATAGCGGAGATTAGGTGTGTAGTTACATTAGCCACTGCTAATATGCTAAAGTTCCGCTCCCTAGCCGAGCTTTTAGCCTACATAGAGAGTTGCGCCCTCTACGCTGCCGTTAAGGACGGTCTAGAGGTAAGTTTTCCGTTTCCCTTATATGTTTTTAGTTCTTGCGCTAACGACCGTAGCGGGTCTGCTAGGCCGTGGCCGTTATAGGCTAGAAGTCGGCCTTAATCCTAGTGAACTAGGAGAAGGAGATCGCTGCCCTTAATGGGGTAGCTTCTATAGTAGATGTAGTAGGGGAGTTAGTAGAGAGGATCCCTAACGCCCTT